AGGTATGTATTACCTCACTTCCTTTCCATTGCTCTCTGCTACCTGCCACCACCCTGACTAAGTCCTTTTACCGCTTATGTTTGGATGATGTTGATGGTTTCCTAATTGACCTTCATTTTCCTGTTTTTTTTTCCTTCCTTCCTTCCTCCCTCCCTCCCTCTCTCCTTCCCTCCCTCCCTCTAAGAGGAATATGCTAAATCTATAATTACACTGAGATTTTAAAATCTATTTTCCCCATAATTTTGTCAATAGTATGTAGCAGTATTAGTCTACATAACTTGATACAATGTTAATAAATGTGTGTTTATGATTTTATCTTCTTAATTTTTTTTTTAATTAACCAGGATGAAACATCGCTGTAAATTTCTTGTGATTTTTTTTTTGGCCTTTTCTATTTTGTCAGATACCAATGTTTTATCCCTCAAACCATATCTAACGCCTACTTCCATTTGGCTGCTGTGCCTCATGGGGAAGGCACAAATGCCTAATGATAAGAAGTCACAGTCTGACCAAGAGCTCTGGTGGCACAGTGGCCAAAGTGCTCAGCTGCTAACCACAAGGTCGGCAATTTGAACCCACCAGCAGCTCACAGGAGAAAGATGTGACAGTCTGCTTCTATAAAGATTATAGCGTTGGAAATCATATGAGGCAGTTCTACTCTGTCCTGTAGGATCACTAAGAGTCGGAATCATCTCAAAGGTAGCAGGAGTCTTTTCAGAAGCCGACTGCCACGTATTTTTCCTGCAGAGTGGCTCATGGGTTCGAACCTCAGACCTTTTGGTTAGGAGCCCAGTGCTTAATAATCGCGTGCCACCAGGGCTCAGAAGGCACGAAACCTTCTACAGATCACCAGAGACATGCTCATTATTTGATTGCATAAAGCTTTTTTAATACCCCGCTGTCCCATCTCTTACATGATTAGTTAGCTTTCTACATCTCTGTGCCCTGTGTCCTCAGTGAAAATGTGCCGAAGTCAAGACTGAGTTACTCCGCACCAAAACAAAACAAGACAAAACAAAACCTGTTGCTGTTGCATGGATTCCAACTCATGGCAACTCCATGTGTTACTAAGTAGAACCGCTCCATAGAGTTTTCTTGGCTGTAATCTTTTACAGAAGTAAATTGCCAGGCCTTTCTCCCACGGAGCCACTGGGTGAGTTTGAACTGCCAACCTTTCGGTTAGCAGCCAAGGGCAAACCATTTGCACAACTCAGGGACCTCTATTCTACACACAGGGATGTGTATATAGGAGGCACCTTGTAACTATTGAATGAATAAGTGAATGAATAGGAGACTTTGGGTTCTGGGTTAAAATTGGAGCTTGATGTGAGTGTAACATGAAGGGACCCCCAGCATTTAATGACCAAAGGACACAGTTGGCCCTCATACACCTGGGCCTGGGTTTCTATGAGCTATGGTGAGCGACCCTGCACACACACTCAGATTCTCATCTGCACATTATTATGTAACATTTGGCCACATGCTCATTGCCTTGGAGATGGCTTCATCTGACCCACATGCCCAGGCAGCATCCACTTTCATCTTTGGCCTTTAGTGAGGGCAGATCCTCTGGGAACAGAATCTTTTGGGAGAAATGTGCCAAGGTCAGGCTGACTTCAGCTAGGTAATTTTAAAAGATGTGCAGCCAGACCAAAAAAAAAAAGGAATTTTCGTTTTTTTATTCCCTTTTGTCATGGTACCACCAAAATTGCCTTTTGTTGCTTGTTTTTGCAGGGGATGCATACACTCAAGGGTCTAAACATTGTATTACTCGGTTGCTTAGATGCCGGTCTTCGTGGTTTGGTTAACCCTTGCCTATCAGCCCCAGCTGGGCTTCTCAGGGCTCAGTTCTAAGCCCACTGCCCTTCTCACTCTGCTCGGTGTTGTGTTTATTCTCATCCACTCACAGCTTTATCCTGTGGCACTGACTTGGTCTCACCTCTGAGCCCTCCTCTCCCTTCCACATCAGCTCGCTCATACTTTCTGAAACAAATAGGCAGACAAGTCATGATTTTGCTTCCATTCCTTCTCATCGCAACAAATGGCTTCCACAGCTGCCCTTCTGGCAAGATACTCATGTTCTTTTATTTTCCAACGAGAAGTGAAAGTATAAAACATAGGCTTCTGTCTGCCTATCCTCAGGTCTGTACCCAGGCTGCTCCCTCAGGGAGGAGGCACTCCAGAAACTGCTCTCCCACCCTTGCCACCAAAGTTCCTCTTCTGCCCTGAGTTACTCTTTCTGTTGCTTTTTATTTTGGTTGCCTGTACCCTCTTCTTTCCTATCTGTAGACCACCAGAGTTCTTATGCCCCACATTCTCTGCTCCCTTCAGAAATAAAGAAGGATCTGGGAACAGATCCTTACACTTTTTTGCTGAGTTTCTGATTGCATTTAGTCTGAGATTTACAAGAAGAGAGCAGGGGTTATTAACCTGGGTCCAGAAACCCTGCAATAGTGAATGCAGAGTTATGTGAGTGAATGAGTGAGTATGAATGTTTGTGTGTAAGAACATGTGTGTAAGAATGTGTGAGTGACTGAGTGTGTCTCTGAAGGGTGTGAGTGTGTGTGAGTGCATGTGAATGTGAGTTTGTAAGTGTGAGAGTGTGCATATGAGTGTGTGTATATGTGTGTGTGAGAATGAGTAGGTGTGAGTGGGTGAGTGTGTGTGACTGTGTGAATGTGTGCCTGAGTGACTGTGTGAATGAGTGAGTGTGCGTGTGACAGTGTGTGTGTGAGAGGGGAGCTCTTTTCTAAAAAGATGGCTCATCCTTTACCTCAGCATCGCAGAAGGGTCTGTGACCCCCTGTCAGAGTTGACCATCACTGCACTGGAGTGCTCACCTTAAGCGGAACGATTACACCTTAAGCTTAGTTTGCTGGAGGTATGGTTTGGAGGCTGCTTTCTTCCTTATTAAAACAATTCCTGCAGCCATCAGGCAGGGAGGAAGATGAGGAGGATGGGGCTGGGAAGGCCTGAAGACATTTGGCTTTCTCAGCACGGCTTGCAGGTAAAGCTGATTTAGTTTTCTAGGTGTGCTGAGTGCAATAAAGGGACGCCATCTGGTCCTCTTAGCCAAAGGGATAACAAGGCTAAGAAAAGCAAGTGCTTCTATGTGTGCAATCAGTATTATCAGGTTTTTACATATATTATCTTATTTAATCCTTACAACAATTCTATGAAGTAAGTACTATCTCCATTTTTACAGATGAGGAAACTGAATTACAAAGAGATTAATTTGCCAAAGTCCCACAGTGGTGGAACTGGATTCAAACCCAGGCCATCTGGTTCTGGAGTTTGTGCTCTTAATCATGTACAAAATCCTTTGTCAATTTTAAACAGATATTTGCTAAAGGCAAACTTAGCACAATATAAAGTTATATTTATCTTTTTTAGGATGGTCACTAGGGTAAAATATTTTGAAAGCTATTTAGAGATAGGTGATAACTTAAATTTGGTAGCAATTTAATGACAAAATATTTCATATCAGATTGTACTCCCTGTATGCCAGTAAACAACACATTTCCTGATACTTTATTTAGACCCATGAAAGAGGATCTGTGTGTAGATTCCACCAGCCTCCAGCTGTGGAGCTCAGGGACTGACTGAAGGCTCACAGCAGCTTTTCTTGCTCTCCACTGCCTTGGGCTTCTCGGGGTTCTGCTCCCAGCCGCTGCTCTTCCCACTCGGCTAAGCTGCTTTTGTGCTTCAGTTGCACCTACGAACTGAGGACTCATAGCTTCCCCAGAACTTTCCTCTGAGCCTCAGATACTCACCAGCCAGACTTCCCCACCAGGGCCTGACCCTGTTGTCTCCCGCCCCACCCTTGCTCTTCTCTTAATCTTGGCCTCACACGGGCCCCACTATCCACGTGGTCACTCAAGCTGGGAAAAAGGGAGTCTTACTTCCTGCCTTTTCCTCTTTCTTGTCTCCTCATCCAGAAAGTCACAATTTCTGAAATAGTTTTGGAGCTCATCGCTCCTCTCTATTCAACTACCTTTGTCCTGGTTCAGCCTCCTTATCTCTCTCCCGACTCAGCAAGTTGCTGCTGGACTTGTCTCCTTGAATCAAGTCTTCACATGAGTACAACTGTGTTGTTGCCCCCTCTGAAAGCTTCCCATAATGTGGAAAGCATTTCATAATGTGTGTGGGTGTAGTCATTATCTCTCTGATAACACCTTTTGGGGACCTGGCCACAGACGAGCCGTGCAGGGTGCTGAAAGCTTTGCAGGCATGGCCTCCTCCATTCCCTCTCACAGATGAGAAAACTAAGGCTTTGAGGAGTTGAATAACTTGCCAAGACAGCATAGCTGCCATGAATTAGGGCTGAGTTAGGACTCTGGTCGGTCTGTGTTCTGTGGCAGGCTCTTAACAGCTCACTTACTGCTGACAGAGCAGTGTCAATACCCCCATCTGCATGGTCTGCCACCTCCCTGCCCCTTCAGGCCCATCGGTCAGCATTCCCCACTCATTGCCTGCCCCAGTGGCACCATACTTGTGTTCCCTGCATACACCTTCAATTTCTCCCCTCTGCTTGTTCTTTCTAGAGCCCCTGCCCCCCCACCCCACTTGACCTCACGCTTGTTCTTTAAGCCTCAGCTCAGATGTCACCTAATCTGGGAACCCCCATGACTTTCGTGGGCTGAGTGAGCTGCTGGCCCTTGGACTCTGGTTATACCCTTTGTGGAGTGGTCACATTCTCACTTCCTGCCCTATCTGTGAGCTCCACAGGCTGGGGTGTGTCTATCATTGTACCCCAGCACCTAGCCCCACACCTGGCACAGGTGAGTGCACGTTGGTGATGGTCATCTGAATGGCAATTGGTGTATGTGAGAGCTTTTCGGAGCTTGTCTCGAGTCACCTTGGACACTAAGCTCTCGTGGGCAGTCTCTGTGTCTGTTTAACTGGCTGTGCGGCGGCTCCTCTGCCTCTGTGTAGGGGCGTGCTTTAGAGCTGTGTTCAGAAAGATGATGAGAACTTTTGCTTCCTTTTGTTTGGGTGAAGATGCAAGCCCAGGATCACAGGGCGACAGTGTGACCAGTGCGCTTCTGGATTCTACCAATTCCCTGAGTGTGTTCCCTGCAATTGCAGCCAAGAGGGGACGGAGCCAGGAGTCTGTGACCCGCGGACTGGAGCTTGCCTCTGCAAGGTAAGACGGACTCTGTTAAGGCCAGGGACGCCAAGGCCAGGGGCATCAGCTACTACCAGTGAGGACGCTCTTCATGCTGAGTCAGCATGTACAAATATGTGGGCAATGGGACCGACTTCCCCATAGGAGATTTTTATAATGTGTGTAGCGTTTGATAGTCTTTATCTCATTTGCTAGAAATGGTTAGAAGGGATGACCCCTCTCATCCTTTAGAGGCCATAGACCCCTTTGAGAATCTGAGGACAGGTATAGACTTTTATCTACAATTTATAGATGCTTATTGGTTCCCCCAAAGCCTATTTCTGGAGCATAGACCCTGGGTTAATAATCTCCACTCTAGGGGTTCTGCCAGTTAATAGGATGGCTTCCACTCCCAGCAGATGTTTTGAGGTGGTGGTGAGTGGGATAAATTGGTTTCCCCATATTATGAATTCTTCTGGTGCTTCAAGATGCCTTCAGAATACCAAGGGACATCTTAAGAAATTTAGGGAGTTCTCTCTTCCATCTGTGTGTGGTATAGAAGTTTAACTATCATGTGGTTTAAATGCTTAACAATTATATACCTTTCAGTGTTTTGTTAACATCTGTGTTCTTATAGCTTGCATTGGTATTAAATTTGTACGAGTAGCTAATTGCAATTGGAGAACCTTCAGAAGGAATGATCTATTGTTTCGTTTTTTACATCAATAGGAAAATGTGGAAGGCACAGAATGCAATGTGTGTCGAAAAGGTTCATTTTATTTGGACTCAGCCAACCCCAAGGGTTGTACGAGCTGCTTCTGCTTCGGAGTAAATAACCATTGTACCAGTACACATAAGCGAAGAACGAAGGTACACAGGGAATCAAAGGCTTTTTGTTTATTTAGTACTTCAGATTGAGGAAAAAAATGAATTGGCATGAAACACGAAGGGTTGTGGAACTTTCTGTATATTAATATTTTTGCACTGGTAAGCATTGTCCTCATGGTTCCCTCAGCTGGCAGCATTCCTTCCACAGATGTCCCCATGCTTGTTCTCAAATGTCTCATGCTCAGTGGGACCTTCCCTCCCTACCCCCTATAAAGGAGTCCACCCTAGTCACTTTCTATGCCCTCACTCTATTTTGTTTGCTCCATAGCACTGACCACTCCAGTATATGTTACACATTTAGTTCTGAAATGTGTTCATTATCTGTCTTCCCTCATCACTAGCATGTAAGCTCCTTGATAAATTCCCGTGCTAGAATAGGACCTGGGACATAGTAGGCGCTCAAATACTTGGCAAATGACTGGAAACCCACTGCCATAGAGTTAGTTCTGACTCATAGCGACACAGTGGCTGCAGCAATGGGCCCAAACATAGCAACATTGTGAGGATGGCACAGGACTGGGCAGTGTTTCGTTCTGTTGTACATAAGGTCACTATGAGTCAGAACTGACTCCACAGCACCTGACAACAACAACAACAACAACAAATGAATGGAGTTTGGTGCCTTTTCCCCTCATTTCTTCTTCTTCCTTTTTTTCATTTCTTCTCACTTATTTTGCCACATCTTTTTTTTGGCCATTTTTTAATTAACTCCATGAAACCAAAACATTTGTTGTCTTCATTATTCCATGAACCAGCAGTCTTACTAATCCAAGAGTCTTACTCATGCTGGCTCTCTTTGCATGAGTAATGTCTTCTGTTCAACAAGAATTCAAAGAGAGATTATTTTATATCTTTTACTGTCTGCCTCTTAAAAGAGGCTGGTAATTGGAAAAAAAAATTGGTTTGTAAATTCATTCTGAGGTCTTCCCTCCAGCCCCCCTAAGTGGAATCAGAAGGCATTATTTCTAATCTAAGCCTTGTCAAATTCTACTTTTTTCTTCCCTCATGTTTAATTCCTGTTTTCTTTTGCGATCAGGGAAATACTGTGATGCTTCATTTACAGAAAAAATAGTGATAGCAGGCCATTGTATTCCTCATCACATTCTCTCTGTAAGGAGTTCATCATTATGATGTTGCCACAGTTCTAGTTATTATTCATACATTTATTTATTTATTGTTCAAACATTTATTAAAAACCCATTGCCCTCGAGTTGATTCTGACTCATAGCCACCCTATAGGACAGAGTAGAACTGCTCCCATAGAGTTTCCAAGGCACGGCTGGTGGATTTGAACTGCTGACCTTTTGGTTAGCACCCAGGATCTTAACCACTGCACCACCAGGGCTCCAAACATTTATTGAGCAGCTGTTAAATACCAAGAACCAAATGTGTGCTGGGACACCAAGACAAATCACACATGCACGTGGTCAGTGTCCCCTGAGAACTCCTGGTAGAACTGGTCAGACAGGTGCAGTGGTGGGGTGTGGGCTCTATCATGGGGGTCCAAGGGAAGACCCAAGAGGAGACACATACAGGAAGCCTCTGTAAGCAAATTGGCTGCCGCCTGCCTCATTCTCTGATACCTGATTAGGCCCCAGCCACACATTTCCATCCCTTGCTCTTGTATTGCAGTTTGTGGATATGATGGGCTGGCGCCTGGAGATGGTAGATCACGTGGACATCCCCACCTCATTCAACCCGGGCAGCAACAGTGTGGTCGCGGACATCCAGGAGCTGCCCGCAACAGTTCTCAGTGCGTCCTGGGTAGCACCTCCTTCATACCTGGGGGATAAGGTAATGTTGTCCTGTTCTCCTGAGCCCTCTGTGGGCCTCCTCCATCACTGCAGGGTTATCATATATGGGCTGTTTGGAAGGAACAATTAAGAAAGTCGGGTGAATAAAATAGAGTCCCTGGGTGGTGCAAACAGTTTAAGTGCTCAGCTGCTAACCAAAGGTTGGAGATTCGAGTCCATCCAGAAGTGCCTCAGAAGAAAGGCCTGGTGATCTACTTCTGAAAAATCAGCTATTGAAAGCCTATGGAGCGCAGTTCTACTCTGACACGTGGGGTTGCCATGAGTCAGAGTCGATTTGACAGCAACTGGTTACTGGTTAAAAGTGAAGAAGAGACAGACCCTGCCTCCACCCATGAGGAGCTGAGTTACAGCTTCACCTTCCCACATGCGCTAACCCAGTGGCAAATGAAATCATGTACAGTGCTTCTTCTCGATTTTTACTTAATGACAAAGAATTTTTGTCCAAGGGAAACAACCATTTAAATAATATCTGTTGCAAATGCTATAGGTCTACTTTTAAATGCCAATGCTGAGACTTCTTTGTTTTAAAGCAAAAGAAAGGCGTCTTGTCAGAAAAGCAAAAGCTGCAAAGTGACTCAAATGCTTATTAAAGGATCACAGGGCCCAGTTCAGCTTTTATAGGCAGATTCACATGCACTGAGTTAGACACTCCTGGGAGTGTGTTGACTGGCTGCGCTTCCTTTAATTATGATTTATGATTCCAGTGCTTGACCATCTGTACTCATTTCGTGAGGACAGACATGTTGGCCTCATGTAGGAACATCATCAGGTGACGTATTATTTTTAGCAAGGGTAAATTTAACAAAAAAAATCTTTTTATTGTGGTAAAATACATTAACATAAAATTTGCCATCTTAACTTTTTTTACGTGTACTTTTCAGTAGCATTCTTACATTTGCAATGTTGCACAACCATCCCCACTAAGAGTAGAGCTTCTGATGGGGATAGAGTTCACAGGGACCAGCTCAGGTGATGCCATAGTCTCACATTTAAAATGACTACGTATTAGGGCCTTGTCAATCTGAGGTATCTCATTCTGTTTTCTGGTTGAAGGACTATGGGTTTTGACATTTGACTGTGGGTAATGTTGCCTCTTTCTCTCACTTAACATTTTCTTCACCTCTATGTGATTACCCCTAAAACTTTTGCAGCTTAAAACAACAAAAAAATTGTTATCTTGCATAGTTTCTGTGGATCGGGAATCCAGGAGTGGCTTGGCTGGATGGTTCTGACTCAGGGTCTTTCGTGAGGTTGCAGTCAAGATGTGAGTGAGGCGGCAGTCAGCTGGGATTGGAGGGTCTGCTTCCAAGCCCACCCATGCAGTTGTTAAAAGGCCTCTCTTCCTTGGGGGCTGTTGGCTGGAGGCCTCAGTTCTTCATCATGTGCAACCCTCCATAGCCTGCCTGCGTGTCCTCATGGCATGGTGTCTGGCTTCTCCCAAAGTGAGTTATGAAAGAGAAGGGGAGAAGAGAGAGGGGGGAAGGGAGGGAAGAAGGGAAGGAGAAAGAGAGAGAACCTAAAACAGAAATTGCAATCTTTTTATAACCAAATTTTGGAAAGGACATACTCTCTCTTCTGCCTTATTCCAGTCATTAGAAGTGAGTCATCAAGTACAGCCCATACTCTAAGACAGGGGAATTAAGTACCACCTTCTGAAGGTCTTCAAAGGATTTGTGGACATATTTTTAAAACCACAGCAATCCATCAAAATGGCAATACTTAATATCAATAAGATCATTCAAGATGTTATTTGCAATACTTTCAGACTCTAAGATCATAACTCTGTGAAGCTTTGTCAGGTTATAAATTCTGGGGAAAAACTTCTGCAAACTGGGAGCCCAGGGGTGCTACACCTTCTCTCATGCTGCAAGTTATTTGCATTTTCCAGTCAAGGTATTTTGTCTTGCCCACTCGGAGATGATGTTGCCTCTGAATCCTCTCCCCTTTCTTCTACCCCTCAGTCATTCCTTCCCTCTTGATTAGTTTTGCTTTAAGGGTGGCAGGTATCAGGGCCAGAGATGAAGTTTCCATCAGAAAACTACAACTTCTACATATCTACCACCATGATGGCACTTCCACAGTATTGGGAGAAAGTCTGGATACTTAATGGGGTAGTCAGCATGGTTTCCATACCCAGTAGAATTTATAATAACGTAGTAGTCATTCGCCATCTGCTTTCAGGGGAATTTTTTTTTTTTTAATTTTAGAGTTTCATTTTTTGACTGATAGATATTAACCAATATTAAACAAGAAACCAATGGTCTGTATTTCTTAGAATAGCTATGGCTTAAATGATACAGAATGGTATAAATTAGAAAGTTAAAGTGCCATCCTCAGTCCTACTTTCTAGAAGTAACCGTTGTTAACAGGTGGATTGTTTATCTTTCCAGACTTTATGTGCCTAAGTACTTTTCATACGGGTTAATGTTGAAGTCGTCTTTTCTAATGCTTGTATTTCAATTTTAATTCAATTTTAGGTTTCCTCATATGGTGGCTACCTCACTTACCAAGTCAAGTCCTTTGGCTTGCCCAGCGACATGGTTCTTCTGGGAAAGAAGCCAGATGTGCAGCTCACTGTGGGTATCAGAACACAGCCCAAGGGCAAGATGGGGGATTACTGTTGGTGCTGGTCCAAACTGAGGATATTTTGATAAGTATTCTACAAAAAGTTTGGATTAACTTGTTTCCAATATTTTGTAAAAACTAAAAAGGAAGCTTAGAGCAAGTAGTATTTCATCAGGATCCTGCTTCCAGGACAATCTGAACCATAAATGGTTTCTCTCTTCTCCCCTCCCAAATTACTTAAGTACTCACCCTTGCTTCTCATAAGTTGCTGCTTCAGGATAAATTGTTTTTTTTTTTAAATGTTTCTGTGTTTCAGTTTAGTTTAACAAATGTGTTTGAGTCCTTCCAGTGTGCAAGACCACATTGCTAGACTCTATAAAGGGGAAGCAAGGTGAAGCCTGTCCTCACAAAGTCTGTCATCTAACAGGGGAGACAAGAGAAATATGCAAATCACTATAATCCACCAAATAGGACATGTCTGAGGAGTCCAAACAAGGCTCCATGGGAGCAGGGGTATGCGTGGGGGCTTGTACAGTCTGAGAGACCCTCAGAAGTCTTCATGGAGCAGGTTAGTTTTGAGCTGGGCCTTTAACAATGGGCCTGAGAGGAGAAATGCCCTTCCAGGGGCAGGGAATAAGATGAACTGAGGCAGCAAGTCAGTGCAGGGCAGGAAGCTGTGCTCAAGGGTTGACCAGTCCAACTTGGCTGGTATCAGTGGTGCCGAGTCATCAAAAACAAGCTTGGAAGGGTAGGAAACCAATTGCTGTTGAGTCAACCCTACTCATGGTGACCCCAGGTGTGTCAGAGTAGAACAGAGAGTGTTTTATGCAATGATAGAGGACTTGACCTGATACCGACAGTGGGGAGCCACTCTGGCTTTTTAAGAAGTGACATCCATACACTAAATGCCAGGCACACAATGCAGAACTGCAATCTAGAAAATTCCTTGAGGGTAGGGGTGATGTCACATCTCACTTTGTACCTCCTGCAAGGCAGGGCACAGCACCTTGAACACAGGTTGGGGTGCCGTAGTCCAAACTTGATTCTGTTTCTGGTTTATGTGCTGTGACCGTGCAATGCAGTTACAGCTTCCTGAAGGGGTTTTCTCGTGTCTCTCAGTGTGAACTAGGAACCAGCAAGTCTCACACACCTCATCACAGCTAAGGGCCGCCCGTTCTTGGTGGATGTCTGTGCTCAGGCACTGTGGTGCTGTGTTTTGTTTTTACTGGCACCCATATCTATTGAATTGTTGTTTCAAAAATCCCAAAAGACCCTTTGCAGAAGATCTTAAAAATAAAGCACCAATGATTTAACAGTTATAGCCTGAGGAAAAATAGCTGCACAATAAAAATAAAGCCATGGCGGTGCTCTGTTTGTGTCGTATTTTTTGCAGAGCATCGTGTAGTTCAGATCATTGCTATACCTATTTTTTACTGCAGAGTTTATTGTGCAAACTGTTGGAATTCACTTAGGGGTAATGACCAAAATTTCTTCTTAATTTTATTTAGGCTTTGCTTTGCTGCTTTGTTCCTTGCCCTTGTAATTAAGAGCCTATAGGGCATGTTTCTTAGATTTAGGTTTTAAATAATTTGTGACCCCAGATAATGCTTTGCTTTTGAAACACGGGTCCTATAGAATGGAATCCTTTCGGATTTGGTGCTGTAACAAGACAGCAGAGGCTTTTTGTGTGTGTTTGGAGTTGGGGTACAGTTGGTGGACCCTGACCTTCCCATTCTGCCCTGTTAGGAGACTCTCAGAGCCACTGTAATGGGAAGGGGTTGGGATGGGGAGATGAAAGGGGGAGCTGAGAATGAGTAAGGCTAGATCCCCACAGGGCAAGGGGCACAGAGCTAAGTCCTCCCCGATACTGCTGGCTCTGCTGTTCCCTGCTATGAATATTTTTATAATTTATATTTTATCCTTCAGCCCTGCCCACCCCTCTTCACTAACCCCCGCATCAAAGCACTTTCTTGCTACCAAAATTTGGCCCTGTAGGCAGTAATGGGAAACCCTGGTGGCATAGTGGTTAAGGGCTACAGCTGCTAACCAAAACGTCAGCAGTTCAAATCCACCAGCTGCTCCTTGGAAACTCTGTGGGGCAGTTCTACTCTGTCCTGTAGGGTCGCTATGAGCCCGAATCGACTCGACGACAATGGGTTTAGTTGTTTTTTTTTGTTTAGGAGGCAGTAATGGAAACAGCACCTCATGTATTCACTACAAGGCATGGTTGTTCCCCTCCCCCACCGCCTTGCCTTTTCAATCACTTTCAAGGGAGATTTCCTTGTTCCCTATTTGTAAAAATAAACTGTACTAGATACTATTTTTCTGTTTCCATGTCACTAATCCTTTAACCAGTCAATTTCTGAACTATTTTTTAGAGTCAGTCTTTCCATGTAATGCAGGTCTGTAGAAATTTGTTTTTAGATCTGTTATAAACATTCCAACCAAGATGCTAAAGCACTCACTTCCTCTTTAAACAGGGTCAGCAGATGTCAGTGGTCTATGAGGAGCCGAACAACCCCCGGCCAGACCGGCTGTATTATGGGCGAGTCCAGGTGGTGGAGGTACAGGAATGCTTTGATAAAATGGTTCTTTATGGTCCTCTCTTATTTTTTTCCCTTTGATTTTATTGTGCTTTAGGTGAAACTTTACAGTGCAAATTAATTTCTCAATTCGAAAATTTAGACACAAATTGTTTTGTGACATTGGTTGCAATCCTCGCAGTGTGTCAGCACTCTTCCCCCTTTCCACACCACTTCCCTTTGTCCGTTCGTCAGGTTTTCCTGTCCCTTCCTGCCTACTCATCTTTGCTTTTGGGCATGTGTTGCCCTTTGGTCTCGTATACATGACTGAACCAAGAAGCACGTTCCTCACGTGTGCTATTATTTGTTTTATAGACCTGTCTAATCTTTTGCTGAAAGGTAGACTTCAGGAGTGTCTTCCGTTCTGAATTTGTAGGGTTTCTGGGAGCCATGATCTCGAGGTTTCCTCCAGTCTCTATCAGACCATTAAGTCTGGTCTTTTTTTGTGAATTTGAATTTTGTTCTACATTTTTCTCCTGCTCTGTCCTGGACCCTTTGTTGTGATCCCTGTCAGAGCCCTCATGGTGGCAGATGGGCACCATCTAGTTCTTCTGGGCTCAGGCTGGTGGAGGCTGTGGTTCAGGTGGGCCATTAGTCCTTTGGACTAATAGTTTCCTCATGTCTTTGGTTTTCTTCATTCTCCTTTGCTCTGGATAGGACCAATAGATGTATCTTAGATAGCCACTCACAAGCTTTTAAGACCCCAGACGCTACTCACCAAAGTAAGATGTAGAACATTTTCTTTATGAGCTATGTTATGCCAATTGACCTAGAAATCTCCCGAGACAATGGTCCCTAGCCCTCAGCCCCAGCGACTTGGTTCCTCAAGGTGTTTGGATGTATCTAGGAAGCTTTTATGACTTTGCTTTGGTCAAGTTTGCTGACTTCCCCTATATTGTTTGTTATCTTTCCCTTCACCAAAAGTTAACACTTGTCTACTATCTAGTTAGTGATTTCCCCTCCCAACCCTACCCCTCGTAACTGTCAAAGATTGTTTTTTTTTTCTGTGTGTAAACCCTTTCTTTAGCTTTTATAATAGTGATTTCATACAATATTTGTCCTTTTGTGATTGACTTATTTCACTCAGCATAGTGCCCCCCAGATTCATCCATGTTGTGAGATGTTTCTCAAATTCATCATTGCTCTTCATCATTGCATAGTATTCCTTTGTGTATATGTACCATAATTTGTTTATCCATTCATCTGTTGGTGGGCATTTAAGTTGTTTCCATCTTTTTGCTATTGTGAACAATGCTGCAGTGAACATGGGTGTGGATTATGTCTATTCATGTGATAGCTCTTATTCTTTAGGATATATTCCTAGGAGTGGGATTGCTGGATCGTATGGCACTTCTATTTCTAGCTTTTTAAGGAAGCACTAGATCAATTTCCAAAGTGGTTGTACCATTTTACATTCCCACCAGCAGTGTATTAGAGTTCCAGTCTCCCTGCAACATCTCCAACATTTGTAATTTTCTGTTTTTTTGATTAGTGCCAGTAATGTTGGGGTGAGATAATATCTCATTGTAGTTACGATTTGCATTTTTCTAACAGCTAGTGATTACGAGCATTTCCTCATGTGTCTGTTAGCTGCCTGAATGTCTTCTTTGGTGAAGTGTCTGTTCATATCCTTTGCCCATTTTTTAATTAGATTATTTGTTTTTTGTTGTTGAAGTGCTGCAGTATCTCATAGATTAGACCCTTGTCAGCTAGGCCATAGCCAAACATTTTTTCCCAGTTAGTAGGTTCTCTTTTTATCTTTTGTTGAAGTCTTTTGATGAGCCTAAGTGTTAATTTTTAGGTGCTCCCAGTTATCTAGTTTATCTTCTGGCATTTGTGCACTGTTAGTTATGGTTTGTTTTGTATTTTTGCCATGTATTATTGCCCCTAGCATTGTTCCTATTTTTTCTTCCATGATCTTTATCGTTTTAGGTTTTATATTTAAGTCTTTGATCCATTTTGAGTTAGTTTTTTGAGTATGGTATGAGGTATGGGTCCTGCTTTATTTTTTTACAGATAGACATCCAGTTTTGCCAGCACCATTTGTTAAAAAGACTGTCTTTTCTCCCATTTAATGGACTTTGATCCTTTGTCAAAAATGAGCTAACCATAGGTGGATGGGTTTACATCTGGGTTCTTGATTCTATTCCATTGGTCTATGTGTCTGTCGTCGTACCAGTACCAGGCTATTTTGACTACCATAGCTGTATACTAGCTTGTGAGAGCAGGTAGTATGAGGCCTCCTACTGTGTTCTTTTTCTTCAGTAATGCTTTGCTTATCTGGGGCCCCTTTCCTTTCCATATAAAGTTGGTGATTAGTTTTTCCAATGCTGTTGGTATTTAGGTTGGGAGTGCATTATATCTGTAGATTGCTTTGGGTAGAATTGATATTTTCACAATGTTGAGTCTTCCTTTCTGTGATCATGGTATGTTTTTCCATTTATGTAGGTATCCTTTATGCTCCTTCTTGATCTATAATTTAGTTATTGCAAACAAACAACTTCTAACTTATTTTATCCCACTGAATTTAAAGCATAAATTATAAAATATACAGAATGTGGTCCTCCGGTGCTTTGTTTGCACTATCTTTATGGCACTTAGCACTTCTCACCTGTGTGTCAGTTAATTGTCTTTGTCTTAATAACCCTGTGAGATTGTAGATGTTACCATGTAGCTCCCTTTATCTTCAGGCCTCTGTCAGTACCTGGGACCTGTTGAGCATCCAACAAATGCTGTAGATGGATGGCTAGAAAAGCCACAAAATTGCCTTACATCAAAAGAAATGAGTAATATAGCTAAATAAAGGAAAGCATCAAGTCATTTATCACCCATCTGTTAGATTGTCATGATGTGGGGGCTTTCATATTGCTATGATGCTGAAAGCTATGCTACCGTTATTTCAAATACCAGCAGAGTGGACAGGTTTCAGCAGAGCTTCCTGACTAAGACAGACTAGGAAGAAAGGCCTGGTGCTCTACTTCTAGAAATTACTCAATCAGAACTCTATGGATCACAACAGAATACTGTCCAATAGAGTGCTGGTACATGAAGCCCCCTAGGTCGGAAGGCACTCAAACTACACAGTGGCTGCAGCAATGAACTTCATCATGAAGATGGCGCAGGACCAAGCAGCGTTTCATTGTGTTGTACATGGGATTGCCACGTGTTGGAGCTGACTCGACAGCAGCTAACAACAAACAACAACAACATCAAATTAGAAGACATTTTATCATACCTACTTAGTTACAGCTATTCCTTAGAAATGGTATTCTGTTTGTACTATTAAAATTATGCGGTACTCAAGGTGATACTTTTTGGTACCTTGAACTTGCAGACATATTTTAACATTTCTGTATGTCTTATTCCACTGTTAAAAACTTAGCTCTTAAGATTACAGCACATAAGCCTTCTTAAAGGAGCTGGTTATGCAGTAAAAGAGGATGAGCAAACCTTATAATTTTTGGAGTTTCCTTGTTGGTTTGCCTGTACCACACAAATCTTAATCCTGATTGTTTATGACTTAACTGTTTAGATGTCAGGACCAACTTGATTTTAAAGATTATGGTTTAAGTTATAATTATGGTGATTGTTCTCACTGCTTGGGAAAAAGACCAACTCTCAATGGAAACAAAACCTGACTTACATGTTTTTAATTGATTATGTAGGTTAATAGGCTTGTTAATAGACAAGGAACTTTTCAGGGACCCAAGGTAAACACAAATAAAATCTTTCAAATTCCCAAAAGGAAAAATGATTAGTTAAGAGCAGAGCTTTGTGGTCTGTGGGTGACTCTGTTTAACAAACGCCTTCATATTTTCTGGGTCATGGAAACTTCTAGTGTGTCACATCTTCTTGTCCACTTAGTGGGATGTTTCTAGCTCCACATCCTGGGCGGGAGTTTCTTATCTGAAGAGGAAAGATGTTTTCCCTCTGTTTCTCATTACCCCTTTGGGAGCTCTCAGTAGATGCTGGTTGAAGATGTTATGCTTGGTATGCTCTCTTCCTGTGAGCCTACTCTGAGCTGGTGGGAACCATCAGTAGAACCCTTGAGTCCATTTAGAAACTAGGATAGAGAAGAGCTAATCTTTGGCATTTAGCACCCCTAGAGGGATGTATTTCAGGCTTTCTTGGTTCATATTAGGAGTTACAGTCCACTGTTGAAGGTGTGGCCCCCTTGTAGAGTTTTCTGTTGGCCGTGCTACTGTACCTCTCTATGCCATAAGCAAGTCCCCAGCATAGATTTGCCTTGACTGGCTTACCTGCCTTGACTGCCTGGGCCAGAGGTGCTGTTTGTGTCCTCTGAAAGGCCTGCAGTGGAAGTTTGGCAGTAAGTTTCCCACTAGGGACACCCTTTCTTCTTACTTTACCGTATTATCTCCTTTTTAAAAATCTGTTTCCCACATATTCTGCACATTTTATAATCCCTTCTTTTTCCCTTTTCCACTAATTTTTCTCTCCCTTCTCGCATTTTTAAAAGAAACTATAACCTAATCACCAAAACATTAACATCTTTCTGTATTCTAATCTATGTTCTTTCTATACTATCATTTATTTTCCTGTAGTCTATTTTTCTCTTGCCTGGTTTTCTTTTATGTTTATTTGGCTCTACTAGATTTTTCCTATATTCACATGCATAAAATAGTTAAGAAGGTCAAAATGTACTGGCTTTAAAATTTTACATTAAGGTGAATGGATAATAAAATAATAGTAATAAAAGAAAGAAAAGATTGATACTATAACAGGGATGTACCTCAAAAACATTATGCTGAGTAAAAGAAGCAAGACTCAAAAGACCAAATATTGTATGATTCTATTTATATGAAGAGGGGTGATGTCAGCAAAACAGGCGGAGTAAGAACCTCTGAAAATTTTCTCCTCCTTGAAAGCAGTGAGAACACTGACAGGAATTGTCAAAATCAACTTTTTCACAAGCCTGAAAGTTAACCAAAGTCTTTCAGCAATGTGGGAGCATTTATTCAAGAAAAATGACTGAATCTCAATAAGAAGAGTGAGCTTTGTGGCATTCTAACTTGCCCTATTCCAGTCACGTGCTCTTCAGCTCCACAGTAGCCTTGAAACCAACATCCCACAATCAAAGTGAAAATCAGCAGCCTCACAGCCACTGAAAGGGGTGGAAAGGGGTTGAACTTCTGCAAAGGCTCATTTCCAGTGAACTGTCATTATTTGGCCTGTCTGAGCGTTTCATGGAAGACCCCACTTGCAAGACTGTCTTTATTTGATCTGACTCAATTCTCTTCCAGTATGAAAAGCCTTTTCCTTGGGGACATTTGTTAAAAACATTTAGAGGCAATTATTTACTTTCATGACTACCTAAGGTGGTGAATAACAGTTGGGGAAAGCAATAGGCTAAACACATAGCTCAAAAGAAAAAGCTTGGGACTAATAAGTTTATACCAAACCAAACCCATTTCTATCGAGTCAATTCCAACTCATGGCAACCCCATGTGTTATAGAGTAGAACTGCTCCATAGGATTTTCGTGGCTGTAATCTTTATGGAAATAGATTGCCAGGCATTTCTTTCACAGTGCCACTGTATAGATTTGTACTGCCAACCTTTAGGTTCATAGCCGAGCTGCAAACCATTTTCATCATCCAGGACCTAAGATGTTCATAGGAGCTTTGAAAAGCTTCAGTATATTCCTGTGAATGTAGAAGGCTGTGCACGCCTAGGACTGGGCACACACCTAGGGCTGTGTACATGTTCAGGAAAGACTTGAGAATGCTGTAAGCTCTCACATCTAGCTGACTTTGAGGCCTTGTGCAACCAGGAAGTGAAGGTTAAGGTGGAGTCATCAGCTGCCTCGCTGATTGTTAAAGGGGTTCCCCAACATACATACAGAGCTTCTCAGCAAAGACTAGGAGGCTCTTTGGTTTCAGGTGCTTAAGAAAACCTCTTATCAGTCATTAGCTGACCATTAAGCTAACCAAGCAGTGACTTTATTGGTCACACACAGTAAAGAATACAGGCTTTACAGCATTAGTTCAGAAAAGTCACTAAACAAACAAACAACAACATCAAACAGTAACAATAACAAACCATGAGGAGGTAGAGAATCTGATTTCCAGAAGTGTCATATTGTATTATTTAAAATGTCCAGTTTTCAACAAAAAAATTTTGAGACATGCAAAGAAACAATAAAGGTCCACATACAGGGAAAAACCAAAAAAACAGTCAATAGAAACTATCCCTGAGGATGCCCAGATGTTAGACTTACATGACAAAGACTTTGTCAGTTATTTTAAATATGTTAAAAAACAACAACAACAACTAAAGTATAGCATGTCCAGATAACTAAAGGTAAGTATGAGAACAGTGTCTCGTCAAATAGAGAATATCAACAAAGAAACAGAAATTATGAAAAAGGAACCAATTAGATATTCTGGAGTTGAAAGATATAATATGAAATAAAAAAGTCACTAGAGGGGCTCAACAACAGATTTGGGCAGTCAAAGAAAGAATCAACCAACTTGAAGATAGGACAATTGAGATTATCCAGTCTGAGGAACAGAAAGAAAAAGAATGAATAAAAACGAACAGAGCCTCAGAGACCTTAGGACACAGTCAAGTGTACCAGAATATACATAATGGGAGTACTGGGAGTCCCAGGAGAGGAGAGAGAGAAAGGAGTAGAACAATATTTGAAGAAATAATGGCTGAAAACTTCCTAAATTTGATGGAAAACCGTATTTTATATATCCAAGGAGCTCAACAAACTCCAAGTAGGATAAATGAAAAAAGATCCACACACAGATGTATCACGTAAAATATCATGCTAAAAGACAAAGAGTCTTAAAAGCAGCAAGAGAGAAGCACTTCATCACATACAAGCAGTCCTCAATAAGATTAACAGCTGATTTCTCATCAGAAGCCATGGAAGCCAGAAGCCAGTGGGAAGACATATTCAAAGTGCTGAAAGAAGCACACTGTCAGCGAGGTATTCTATATCTGGCAAAACTATCTTTCACAAATGAAGGAGAAATTAAGACATTCCATGAGAGAATTCATTGCTAGCAAAACTTCCCTACAAAAAATACTAAAGGGAGTCCTTTAGGCTCAGATGAAAGGAACTAGACAGTAACTTAAATCCACATAAAGAATAATAAGCACTGTTAAAAGTAACTACATAGATGAATATAGATGGCAGTATATATGTATCTTTTGTTTATAACTCTTTTCTTCTATCTGATTTAAAAAACAACTGCATAAAGCAATAATTATGAATCTGTGTTAATGGGCATATAATGCCTAAAAAAGTAATTTTATGAAAATAATAGCACAAAGGAGAGAGGAGGGATCAGACCTAATAGGAGCAAATTATTTGCATGCTATTGAAATTAAGTTAGTATTTATATAAAATGTCCAGCATAGGCAAACCCATAAAGACAGAAAATAGATTACTGGTTGCCTGGGGCTAGGGATAGGAATGGGTAGTGACTGAAAATGGGCACAAGGGTTCTTTTTGGAGTGATGGAAATGTTCTAAAATCACCGTATTTTTACGCAAGTAACACGTGCCTTCTGCGTTTGTTTGCTGGCCACATCTTCCCCACCCCGACCATGAGACACCCTCACAAGTGCTGGCATGCCAGTCCTCCTTCATGTGTTGCTGTAAAAAAATTAGCATAGTATGTTTACAAAAATACCCTGTGAGAGGAGGGCGGGGCTGGCAAATGCAGAAGCTGCATGTTATTTGCATAAAAATACGCTAGATTGTGGCAATGGCCGCGCACCTCTGTAAATTTACTAAAAATCATTGAATTGCACATTTAAAATGAGTCAATACTATTGTATGTAAATTATACCTCAAGCTGTTAAAAACCTACATTAAAGTTACATAAATACTATATATATTTACATGTTAATAATAGCTACCATTTTTCGAATGTCTACTACATGCCAGACACTATGCTAAACACTTTATATGCATTATATCACTTAACTTTATACTTTAATCCTCATGATAACTCTTAGAGATTAGGTATTAACTGTGCCCATTTAAGAGATATGGAAATGGAGTACAAAGGAGGCAACAGACTATGAAGGTTGCCAACAGAATATAAAGAGTGAGTGCACCTGGGTTTGAATCCTGGTATGTCACTCACTGGCTGTGTGACTCTGGACAAGTTAATTCACTTCTCTGTGCTCGGCATTCTCATCTGTAAAATGGAGGTGATGATTATAGTATCTGTATCATAGGGTTATTGTGGGGATCCTATAAGAGCACATTTGTAAAGTCCGTAATACAATGCTTGGTACATAAGAAGAGCTGAATAATTGTCAGCTAGCACTATCATCATTCATATTTTTAGATAAGTAGTTTTTCTAAGGTCACAAAGCTTGCGGGGCTGCAGGTGAGATAGGAACCCAGGCATGTGCGTTCTAATGCCCTACTCTTAACACTCCAAGCAACGGGTCACAGAAGCCCTGGGATCCTTCAGCGTGTGATTAAAATTACTGTGCCATCAGTTATAAAAGGGAGAGACAAGAGACAAGAAATAGAGGAGCTAGAATGGGGAAAGCCATTGCCAGAAGGTTCTGCTGGTTGATTCCAAGGCCATTGTTTGCCCAAAGCTGCTCCAGATTTTTAATCTCTGGACAGGAGCTATGTCCCTCCCTTCTCTATGGGGCTTCCCACATTGTGGACAGTTGACATCAATATATAAAAATTTTATAATATTGCTTTTATTACAATAATGTGAGTGTGAATATGTAAGACAAGATTGTATTTTCTGTCATAATTATGCACATTTAATGAATGATCTGAGCTGCATAACTCAGTTGTTTTCCATATGACTTTCTTTCTTATATCTTCCTCACCTTATTTCTGTACAAACAAAAGTGCATTTTTAAATATGTGTAACACTGGGAAAATTATTTTATTGCCCCTTATTTCTTGTCTTCTTCATTTAATTTTTGGCTTCTCCTGGAACCCTCTCTTTTTGGGAATAATCTGGCACAGCTGCCTTCAGAATGTAAATACGCTGGGTAGTTACCCATCTGATTTTTTTTTTATCCTTCCGTAGTTGAAATATCTTTTTCTTGATTTGCTGTGGGTGTCTGCCCTTTGAGCCCCCTGGAGGTGAGCCTGCCTGAGGGAGACCTTTCCCTTCTCTTCCCATGTGCAGGGGAACTTCAGACACGCAGGCAGCGGTGCACTGGTGTCTCGGGAAGAGCTGATGACAGTGCTGTCTAGACTGGAAGGCGTGCGCATCCGAGGCCTCTATTTCACCGAGACGCAGCGGCTCACCCTGGGCGAGGTGGGGCTGGAGCAGGCCTCCAACTCAGGGAGTGGAAGTGTAGCACATCATGTAGAGATGTGTTCCTGCCCGCCTGCCTATACTGGTGACTCATGCCAGGTAGGAAATTTTCCTCTGCTTTAAAATTCCCAGAGGGGACTTCTGGGGCACGCTCTTCTGTCCATTGTACAAGTTTCTGCTGGGCAATAGCTTATATTTTACCTAGACTATCTTCAGGTATTAAATATGCAAAAGAAATCACAAATATCTCAAAATGCATAGAAAAGCATTTAGGTTCTGGGAAGCTTGTTAGGTTCTGGGGATGGTAGGAAGGAGCCAGCCCATGGGGTCCCAGTATTTGAGCTGTGCTTTCCCAATGGTAGACACAGGGTCCTTATGACTTTGGCTAATCAGGGCCTTTTTCACGTCCCCGCAGAATAGAGTCGAATTCCAGAGAATGTCCTGGATTCTGCAAGGCAAAATCGCATACCAGTTTTCCAGATTGCAGTAAACCCTTGTTTGAGGCCCAGTCTGACTGCTTTGTCCTCATTTGATTAAAATGTGCCATACAGTGAAATAATTTAATATCTCAAGTTTTAAATATGTACTTTTCCTAAAGAGTGGAAAGAAATCACAATGGTTAGAGCAGTTATTAGGAAACAGCAAACACTGTCATCCTGTGTCTCCCATACACCCATCGTATAGAGACTTATCAAACTCTTCACTTTCTTGACCCCTTGATAGCAGGCAATCCCAGGGTGATCTGCACCGAAGAGTTTTCTGTGTTTTTAACCTGCAAATCTCTTACCTGCCATGGCTTTCTGGGGACTCCTATCTTACAACAATTAGTCCGCAGATCTCCTGTGTTCTTCCTCCTCCCTGCTGTCTCTTTTCTAGCTGATTAAAATCCATAGCCCAAAGGGTAGAGTGGAGCCTCAGGTTCCCTCCCTCATTGTTGCTGTTGCTGTTAGGTGCTGTTGAGTCAGTTCTGACTCATAGCCACTATCTTAGTTCTCTAGCGCTGCTGTAACAGAAATACCACAAGGGGATGCCTTTAACAAACAGAAATTTATTCTCTCACAGTCTAGGAAGCTAGAAGTCTGAATTCGGGGCCCCAGCTCCAGGGGAAGGCTTTCTCTCTCTGTTGGCTCTAGGAGAAGGTCTTTGTCATTAATCTTCCCCTGGACTAGCAGCTTCTCAGTGCAGGGACCCTGAGTCCAGGACACACTCTACTCCTGGCTCTTCATTCTTGGTGGTGATGAAGACCCTCTCCTCTCTGCTTGATTCTCTCAAGATGCAACGTAATCCTGTAGATTGAGTCCTGCCTTATTAACGTAACTGCCTCTAATCGTGCCTCATTAGCATCGTAGAAGTTAGGATTTACAACACATAAGATAATCCCATCAGAACACAAAGTATGGTGGACAACCACTCAATACCAGGAATCAATGGCCTAACCAAGTTGACATATATTTTTAGAGGACACAATTCAATCCATGGCAGTGACCCTGTGTACAACAGAGTGAAACACTGCCCGGTCCTACACCATCCTCACAACTGCTGCTATGTTTAAGCCCATTGTTGTAGCCACTGCATCAATCCATATCTCGTTGAGGGTCTTCCTCTTTTTCACTGACCCTCACAGGCATGATGTCCTTCTCCAGGGACTGGTCCCTTCTAATAACATGTCTAAAGTATGTAAGATGAAGTCTCACATCCTCCCTTCTAAGGCGCATTCTCACTGTACTTCTTCCAAGACAGATTTATTTGTTCTTCTGGCAATCCATGGTATATACAATATTCTTCACCAACACCATAATTCAAAGGCATCAATTCTTCTTCACTCTTCCTTATTCATTGTCCAACTTTCCCATGCATATGAGGTGATTGAAAATACTATGGCTTGGGTCAGGCACACCTTAGTCCTCAGTGTGACATCTTTGCTTTTTAACACTTTGAAGAGTCTTTTGCAGCAAATTTGCCCTCCCTCATACCCAAGGTGTATTTTTGGGGTTGACTCAGCCTGTGATTTACTGCTGCTAATCGTCTAGTGCTGTCTGCAAGGTTAGGTGGGTAGAGGGTGCTGCCGGCCCCACCTCACTGGAATTACAGAGCCGTGCGCTTATCTCCAGGACTCTTAGGTGTGCTCTGCACAGTCTGACTCATGCGGGAAGTTTAAAGGTGGGGCCCCTGCCGCAGACAGCCTTCCTTACCTGAGTCAGGCAGGCCCGGGCACTGAGTAGGAAGGGCAGCTATAAGAGGAGAAGCAGAGAGTGGTTCGTGCGCAGCCAGCAGGAGCCCAGACACCAGGATGCCCCCCACAGTGAGGCGGTCTGCTCAGAGCACAGGGTGGCTGTGGCTCTTTGGGGTAGCTCTGGGACAGTGTCTGGGATACAACACACAGCAGCAGAGGGTAGAATTTCTTCAGCCTCCTGGTCAAAGCCAACTGCAAGCAAGTTATGCGGAGTTTAGACCCAGCCAGGTAATGTCATTTTTTAAATTTTGGCTTGGTATGGGGAAGGGTTCCCAGCTTTGTGACATTTGAAGTTAGGGTGATTAATGAGTAAGTGGGTGGGTTGGGGGAGGGGTGATGGCCTCCCCACTCTGTTGACTGGCAGTGTTTATTACAATTCCTGACAGATTGCTCCCTAAACTGTTAACCACAAACCCCATAAACATCAGCCCACCTGGAAAGGCTGAGAGAGTTAAGAATTTGAATGCTTGTGGGATGTTAAAATACTATGAAACTCTGCACCCTTTAGAGAGTAACCCAAGCCTCAGAACAAAGGAGTCCAATCTCTGTAGGTTTCCAAATTCAGCTCTGAAGAAAAATCAACCATAAAATAAAACCTGAGAACCAGTGAAATTCCTGCTAAGAAAAGTGATCAGATAAGGTTTACACAATACCTAACAGACATGCTTGAATTTGCTAGGCATTAAACGTTTATAAATACTAGTCTCTTTCTGTAAATTTCCTAGATGTTGTACAGGAGCTTACAGAGATATAGAACCTCTGGTTGTTGAAATAGCCCTGGAAACCGGAAAGGGATATGATTTTATCATCTGTACTATTCACATTAATTGCAAAAGTTATTATAAATAATTATCACTTTAAAAAAACTTAACTAATTACAAAACCCCTTTACTGAAATAATATATGAGGACACATTCATTTTTATTTAGAGAGTTGGTCTTCATTACAATCTGAATACGAGAACTGAATTTTATGTAAAATACGTGTGGGTGGGTTGTTTGCTTTATAGAGGTGATAAAATCATTCTATTTCAGTAACTGACAAATGCTCTGAGAGTCACATGAGTGCTTTTTCTGTTTCTAACCAAAATCAAATTAAGAGGGGTGATTTTAATTTTTAATCAAGATAAATTATCCAACCCCCAAAACATTTTCAGTTAAGGCTTTTACTCAAGCGTGTTGTCATAAACTAACCAGATGTATATTTGAATAATTTGCTCTTTACCAGATATGATCATTTTGCAAGCATGCAATACAACATATGGTGATAATCATAAGGTACTTGCCACTTATGAATAGAGATTATTTGTATGTAGATACAATCCCACCATCACTAGCTAAATTTCATTTTGACGTATCTCTTAGTCATGCTTACAGCTAAAGAACATTCCTTTCATACTTCGATTCTCCTTTAGACAAGCCTATTCATATAACCCATAAAGTAAGCTAGTTTTTTTGCAACGTGTTCTTTTGCCTAAACATGGTTCCTGATAGCTTAAAGGAACATTATATTGGAAATTACAGTCTTGTTGTGTATGGTTTGTAGTCATTGGTAACTGGGGATGAAGCTCCCAACAAACAGCACCTGGGCTATTTCACTCAGGATTATACATGTTGCTTCTGCCTCCAGCCCTACAGGTTGTTTCCTCCTCTCCCCTGCTTGACCAGCTTGAGACCCTTATGGCCAGGGATGAATGACATTGTACCGTTCATTTCAAGGTTTCCTTTGACCGTAGGTTCAGTCTTATAGACTTTTGTGCCGGTTAAAGAGGATTAGATCAAAGCTTATAATTTATCTTGAAGTATTTATTTTTTCCTGATGGTTTAAAGATAGGGCATATAGGAGATCAGTGAAAGAAATGAGTACAAATCTGTTTTGGTGATTAAAAGATCCACTTGCCAGAGAGTTGATTCTGATTGATGTTGACCCTTAGTTCTGCCAAAATAACAAAAATGTCTATAATTCTCTTAAAGATGGAAATTTAATGACATTTTAATGCCTAGTATAAGAATAATTGCTCTTTTTTTCTACTGGAGGCATTCTTAACTAGAATCCTTTTTTATATCAGTTTGTCAAACTAAAAGTATAGGTTTTTCATCAATATGAAACATAATCGTTTGTGTTAAGCTAGAAACAGACAACATACAGGAGATAGAAATAATCAAAACGATATTGAACAAGAAAACAAGACAAAACCCAAGGAGGTCCCCCAAGAGTGTTCTGTGTGGGACCAAAGGGCCACATTTGTGAAGAGTCCGATATGAGAACTTGAGCATGGCCTGGGTCCCTGCTGCCTACAGACTAGTGAGTGGCCTTGAAGTGATTCTGCCATTATTGTGTGGATCCCAGTTAAGACTTCTTATTCCCCCCTCCTTCTCCTTCCCCCACCAGCTGACCCCAAATCACCCTTGGAGAGGGAATGGCTACTCTAAGAGAACTTGAAGTGTGATTTGTTAGATGTCCCATTCCCTGAGGACACTGAATTCAAGCCTGAGGACTAACTTCCTGGCCCTGTAACTCTTTCACCACTCCACCCTTCCACCTCCCTCAAGAGGACTGGTTTGGGGAGGAAAAGAACCCCACTTCCACACTCCACAGCCCACCCTCAACTTCCCTTTTCACCGATTTCCCCATCGCATATCTCACACTCAGGCACAAACCCACAGTCCCACGGTTGCATGGGAACTAAACAGAACCTGACACAAGACGAGTGGGCCTGGCTAGAGTGTGAAATGAGAAATCCACACACTGAATAAGGAAAGACGATATAAAGTGAATTCTTCACAGTCAGAATTGTCACATGTTTGGGATAATAATTGTTTTCTTTCTATTGACGAAACACTTTGTTTGAAAAATAGGGTTGCAACCCTGGATACTATCGGGATAACAGAGGCTTGTATACTGGACGATGTGTTCCCTGCAATTGCAACGGGCATTCGAATCGATGTCAGGATGGCTCAGGAATATGTATTGTGAGTATATTGATACTCTGATGTTACCTGCATGCAGGCGGTTTTTCTCCATTTTCCCTATAATTGGCCCTGAGACATTGGTGCAACAGCTCCTACCAAACCCTAAATAGAGGTTGCTATGTAATGTAGGGGAGTCCTTGGGTGATGCAAATGGTTAATGTGCTTGACTGCTAATCAAAAGGCTGAAGGTTCAAGTCGACCTAGAGGTGCCTCAGAAGAAAGGGTTGGCGATCTACTTTCAAAAAAAAATTAGCCATTGAAAATCTCATGGAGCACAGTTCTACTCTGACACATGGAATCTCCATGAGTCAGAGTCAACTCGAAGGCAACTGGTTGTTATTGTTATGTACAAGGCTTGAGCGTCATGAGACTGAATTATTTTACACTTTATTGTTTCCTCTGTTTCACCAGAAGAGAACACCAGTCTGAACAATTAAATTACACTTTAGCTTCTAAATCTTTTTCATTAAATGATATTAATGGGCGGATCCTGGGAGTTAATTATTGCCACCAATAAACCAAAACCAAACCCACTGCCATTGATTCGATTCCGACTCATAGCACCTTACAGGACAGAGTAGAACTGCCCCATAGGGTTTCCAACGAGCACCTGGTGGATTCCAACTGCCGACCTTTGGATTAGCAGTTGTAGCTCTTAACCACGGCATCACCGTGGCTCCTAATTATTACTAAGATGTTATAAATCGGAGCCCCATTACCTTGGGTCCCAATTTCGTTGGGGTGGCAAAAGGTTGTGGAGGGCAGGACCTTGTTGCTGTCAGACAAGCAGTAATCCAGGGTACTGGGGATGTTAAGAAAGGCTTATGGCTCAGACCCAGACCCAGTGGGTTTATGTGGCAGCCAGGTGAGGGGAGGGGATCAGAGGAAGGAAAACACTCCCTCACCTCTTTTCTTCTTCACAGTACACACAGGCTGCATGCACCCTATATTAACCGCCTCTCCCTTTCAAGGCAGTCCTGATGTCTATGACTTAGTCACTGGAAAGCAATCTTTTCTTTGGAATACTCTAGAAAATCCCCCACATAAAATCAGATTCCTAGGAAATATTTCTTTTGCATCCTGAAGCAGAACTGTTTGTCATTCTGCTTCCTTCTTCCCTCTTGTCAGAGTTCTCCTGGTAACCAGGGCCTCCCTTAATTAGAGTGAGAATAGACGGCTTCAAGGGAAGGAGTGTGTGACCCCCAGGAATACAGAGCCCCCGGTTATGTTGTTCTTCTGGCACAGGTTTCCTTTGCATTGTGTGATTCAACTAGAGTGTGTCTCAACTCTTTTGAGTTCCTAGACTATGTTAAGCCAATTCGGCATGTCCCAGGGATTGCTTCCTCTGCCAGATGGTACAGGGCCAGAACAGGAGATTGTTGTAAAGAGCCTGATAGACTCTTTTTTAGGATTTTAGCCGTATAAGCTCAAAAAGAATAAAAGACATTGGGAAATACTGTGTTTCAGCTCGTAAGTATTCCTATGTAAAAGTTTATCTGTGATGCTGTATGTTTTGTGTAACACAGGTAGATGCTTTCATTAAAAATAAATGTTTATTTTATTGCTAAATTATTTTTAGATGTCAAGTCCATTCTATAAAACCTGCTGAAAAACAAAGGGAATTTTCTCTGTAGTCCATTCACCCGGTGAAAGGGTCACTAGTGAGAGCCATAATGCACATGTTTTAATCAAACAGGAAGATTTTCTTTTCTATTTCCTTCTTTTGTAGCTCTGTCTTCACTTGTCCCTAATGGCCATGTGGCTCTAGAAACTAACCATTCAGGAAACCCTTACTGAGCATTGCTCTCGTGGCAGGTACTAAGCTAAGCACTGGGGTCAAAATCACAAAACATAAATAATCCCTGCTCTCAAGAGGCTTGCAGTTTAGTGGGGGAATGTGTGTGCATGCAGACACGCACACAGGCACACACACACAGGCATACACACACACACACACACACACACACACACACACACACACACACGCACACGGGCCCATGTCTGGGCTCAGTCGTACCTGCTCAATGGCAAAGCTCTGAGTGGTGATATTGTCCCCAAATGTAGCCACCATCTGGTTACCAAGGATGTAGCCCTAATCATCAGAGAACAGTAATGGGGAAATGAATATCAATTGGGCCTTCAGGCGGACTCCTCTGTAAATTGACCTCCCCCTCTAAAGATCCCAGTGTACATTTCTCAAATCCTGGACATTCACAGGTGTGCAAATCTCCATGTCGTTTCAAGAATAAAATTAAAGTTTACAAAGAAAAGTAGCCCAGCTCCTTGTTAGAAAGCAGTACATGTTCATTTGAGAGGGCAGGAATATCGGGGTACACTATTACACAGGCGCTATGAGCCAGAGGGATTGGTGGTGACTCCCTTCTTTGCTGAGATCCCCTCCAGGGTTCCCTTCTCTCTGATGAGCCCCCCCGCCCAGGGCTCCCTTCTCTCTGCTGAGGCCCCCTAGGTTTTGCTTCTCTACAGACCACCCCCCCAGGGTTCCCTTCTCTCTGCTGAGGCCTCCCAGGGTTCCCTTCTCTCTGCTGAGGCCCCTCAGGGCTCCCTTCTCTCTGCAGAGGCCCCCTAGGTTTTGCTTCTCTACAGATCCTCCCCCCCAGGGTTCCCTTCTCTCTGCTGAGGCCTCCCAGGGTTCCCTTCTCTCTGCAGAGGCCCCCCCAACCAGGGCTCCCTTCTCTGCAGAGGCCCCCCAGGGCTCCCTTCTCTCTGCAGAGGCTCCCCCATGGTTCCCTTCTCTGCTGAGACCCCCCCAGGGTTCTCTTCTCTGCAGAGGCCCCCCAACGTTCCCTTCTCTGCATAGGCCCCTGCCTTTCCCTCTTCTACTTGCCAGACTTTCTCTCCTTCCTTCCTCCTCTCTCCTCCAGCTACCCTTGCCTCCTATTGTCGCTGTCACCCCTTCTATCACTACAGCCTCACCTACCCCTCTGGTCCCGTGTGCCTTCGCCTTTCTAGTCCCATCCTCTTTCTTAAGGCTTTCTTTCTTTTTATTCCCTGCCGTTTGAGCCCACCTCCCCCACTGTCCCCAGAATGATTTATCTGAAATTCCCAGTGGACCAGGGGCTCCGCTATTTAAAATCCTCCTGTGGCCCCAGTGGCATAGTGGTTAAGAGCTATGGTTGCTAACCAAAAAGGTCAGCAGTTAGAATCCACCAGGTGCTCCTTGGAACCTCTATGGGGCAGTTCTACTCTGTCCTATAGGGTCGCTATGAGTCGGAATCGGCTCGACAGCGGTGGGTTTTTTTGTGGCCTCAGAGGCTTTCAGAGGGAAGCCGGATCCTTAGCAGGCGGTGGGGACTCCCTGCCTGTGTTGCGTGCCCCCCAGCCTGCCTCCCTGACTCCACCCTCCACCCTCTGCAGACACCGAATGCCTCAGGCTCTGAGGTTCTGCACACACTGTTCCCTGTGCCTGCAATGCCCTTCCCTCACATTTCTGCCCAGCTGATGTCTCTCCTGCCACCCTCCATTCAGCAGCCTCACTTCCAGGGGGCCTTCCCTGAGGCTCTGGAACGGCCACCTCTGCCTCCTCTTTGCTCTACATGGCCCTGCGCAGAACTTTGAATTCAACAAATTCAATATTATATTGAATGTGTGTTTTTGCAGCGCTGTGCCCTGGTGGCGCAGTGGTTAAGAGTTCGGCTGCTAACCAAAAGGTCAGCAGTTCAAATCCATGAGCCACTCCTTGGAAACTTTATGGGGCAGTTCTCCTCTGTCCTGTAAGGTTGCTATGAGTCGGCATCGACTCGATGGCAACGGGTTTTGATTTTTCATCTGCCCACAAGCCAGGGTACTGACCCATCCTTGCATCCCAAGCATCTGGCATAGTTTGGCATACAGTAAGTGTCTATAGATGTTTGTTGTTAAATGGAACTAGAAGAGCACATGCTGTGGGAGTGGGTGAGGGCCCCCTGGCATTCATTCATTCATTCATTCATTCCTGGAAGCTCAGAATGAAACCAAAGACACTGGAGAGGCAGATGCCTCAAGTGTGCAGAGCTGATGAAGGCAGCTTCTAGAGTAGCCGTGCTTGATTGCGAGCCAGGGGCATTTCGGAAATCCTTACGAGACTTTGTCAAACAACGCAGGCTCTAACCCCTTTCTGCAGTCTTTTCCCCTCACGCCTGTGGAGAACAGTGTTCAGAGCGCTTTAAGCAGAACACAGATGGCCTCTCTGTGATTCTTGTTTCTCCAGGGTTTCTAGCCTCAGAAGTAAGTAGACAGAGGACTAAAATATATGTATCCAGGGATGCTCTTCTTTAAAATTACGTGATTAGAAGTTAAAAAGGAAGGAACACTGGAGTGGAAAAGTAAATGATTAGTTCAAGAGAACCATGTGTTTTATGACTAAGTCAGGGCAGCTGAGCAAAGTGAGGGTGAAGGGTGCCTTGTGCCCTCACCTGACCCCCTGAGAGGGCTCGTCGGTGGAGCTGATGAACTGCAGGGTGGATTTGCTGGAAGTGCCAGAACTCAAAGGATGAACTCCCACAAGTGGTGCTAGTTTGGGATGGAGGGAAGGTCCAGACAGGAGTGAACTTCCTGATGAAGATAGATATTAACGTGTGAGCAGCATTCCACATTAAAGGCCAACCTGGTTCTTTGAAGTACTTACTAATCCTCTACATTTACAGCACAGTTGTATGTCTGGAAAAACTAAGAATCAGTATTTTTAACATTTTAGTCGATTGTGTACTTCTCAGTAATTCAAGTGTTCGTGAAGGATTGATTTGTTTAATCTGAGCAAACGGAGGCATTTAAGATTGAAGGCCTGTCTTTCCCGTTCCATGCAGTGCGAGGCCGTCTTGTGATTGCAAGGATATTGTTTTTCCCAACCTGGCTTCATATTTTATTTAAAAAACCCACATGTGTTAAAGTTTCCTACTAGGAGCACCTCTGCATACAGAGGGAAAATATATAAGCCAGTTTTAAAAATTATACTGATTTCAGGCCATATAATTAACACAAGGAGTCTCTGGGTGTGCAAATAGTTCATGCACTCAGCTGCTAACTGAAAGATCAACAGTTTGAATTCACCCAGTGGCACCTCGGAAGAAAGGCCTAGCAATGTATTTCTGAAAAATCAGCCATTGAAAACCCTATGGAGCACAGTTCTACTCAGACAAGCATGGGGCCACCATGAGTGGGAGTTGACTCCACAGCATCTGGTAACTGGTAATTAACACAAAGTATCTCTTAATAATGAAATGCCCGTACATAGCAAGGGGAGTTTCCTTGGCTATTTTATGCTTATTATTAGAGTTATATTTGAAGGATTATATTTGGCTAAAAATTCTACACAATAAACCAAGTCTACACAACCCACTAGGCTTGGCCTCAGTAGACTGCTCAGTTGCAAAGTTGTATTATCTCAATCCTTGGCTCTAAAGAATAACATTCATTGGGCATTGACTTTAACAGGAAAATGATTGAATTTTCATAAAGAAAAAGCTTAGATAAAATTAATTTCTTGCTCCTTGGGAACACTGCAATTAAGTTCAGAGCTTTCTTCAGCTACTATGTAAGCTTTTATTGTTTTAACAAATTCCACGTGTTAAAAACATATTTCAGCTTCATTGCTCTGCAGTATACCATTGTGAGATGAATTAGGAAGTTGAGCAAAGTAAATTTTCATAGAGGCAATCCTAAGGGGAAAAGGGAAAGGAATCTACAGTAGCCAAGGGCCTATTACACTTTACTTTTTTAAATCCTACCAACAGTCTTGGGAAGTAGATATTTTTCTGATTGTACATGTTAACAAAATTAGAATTGTATATAAATCATACATCAATAAAATTGATATATAAGAATCATCAAGGCTCAGAGAGGTGAAGGAACTTGCCCGAGATTCCGCAGCTACTATGTTAGAGTGGGGCTCGCACACAGCTGGTCTCTCCCCACTACACCAAGCTTCCTGACGGTAATCGTCAAGTCACTGACTGAAGGGCACTTACATCTTTTTTTCTAGCACAGACAATGCTTGGGTAGACAAGGAAAATATATAGTTAGTGGAGCTGATATCATTGTACAGAGTCAGAGGACTCGAGTTACAGTTGTGTGAGTAGTTCAGGTTCCAATGAACTAAAAAATAGTAAAGGTAACAGGTTGCCATTAATTGTGCTCTTCATTTTGTCCCAAGAACTGTCAGCACAACACTGCTGGGGACCACTGTGAGCACTGTAAAGAGGGCCACTATGGGAGCGCTGTCCACGGATCCTGCAGGGCCTGCCCCTGTCCTCATACAAACAGGTACTGACAAGCTTGGAAACAGTGTATGGGACAGAAAGTAGTTTAGTATAACTGCTTATGGCTAGGGGGATTGGGGGAATGGAGGGTGACTGCTAATGGGTACAGGGTTTCTTGTGGCGGTGATGACAGTGTTCCAAAATTGATTGTGGTGATGGCTGTACTTTCTATGACTATACTAAAAACCATTGAATTGTACACTTTAAATGGGTGAATTGTATGGTACGTGAATTACATCTCAATAGAACTGTTTTATATAAATATATATATTTAAAGGTACAAACAAAAAGTGCAAAGCAAAACAAACATAAATCCTTATTCCAAGTTGTATTCTTCTGGGCTTTTCCTTTTCATCTTTTGCTGTTTATTCAATGGTTAAACAATTATCAAGCACCATTATAGGGCCAAGGAAACTGAAGTAAAGAATATTGGCAAAGTCTCTGATCTCATGGGACTCTACCTGGTGTGTGTGTGTGTATGTGTATGTGTGTGTGTGTGTGTTGGGAGTCACACTCAATAAACACCTACATAAATAAATCAGAAGTAAAATTTCAAGTAGGGATGAATGCTATGCAGAAAATTAAAGTAGGGTTATGTGATAACGAGTGAGTGGCTTCATCAGAGAAGGCAGTGAAGGAGGGCTTTCTTAAGTTGTTGAGCAGGGACCTGAATGATGATCTGGAAAAAGCCATAGCAGTATCTTAGGGATGAAGTCCCAGGCAAAAAAGAAGACAGAAAGGAAAGGCCCTGCAATGGCATGTTTATGGAACAATAGAAGGCAAGGATGGCTGGAGAGCAGTGAGTGAGACAGTGGTAGGAAATGAGGTTGGTGGGACAGCCAGTGTTCTGAGTATGTAGGTGGTCTGTAGGACTTTTGTGGGTAATGATAAGGCATTTGTATTTTATACTCAGTGTGATGGGAAGCCACTGGACAGTCCTGACCCATGGAGTGACATGATCCAAGTTGTCATTTTGGCTCCAGTGTGGCCAATGGACTGTGTAGATACAACAAAAAAACAGTTGCCCTGGAATCGATTCCAACTCATGGTGATGCACGTGTGTCAGAATAGAACTGTGCTCCGTAGGGTTTTCAGTGGCTGCTTTTTCAGAAGTAGATCATCAGGCCTTTCTTCTGAGGCACTTTTGGTGGACTCAGACTGTGAACCTTTTGGTTTTCTTTTCATGGTAAACCATGTTCTATTTTGGTTTGGCACCTTGTAATACTCTTGCTTATCTTTATATACTCACGTGAGATCCAAACAAAACATAACAAGTAACAAAGTGAAGCGAGAGTTGGTTTGAAAATCAGAAAGATAGTGCCGAAGTATCAGTAGTGCACAAACTCATAAGCAGGTGTGGCCACTAGGACTGATTTTTGTCAGTGTGTATCAGGGAAACGGTCCAAGGCTTAAAATTACCAGGAGTCACATGCCCAAGTACGACTCTTCTGGAGATACGTATTTGAAATATTCACCCTGCTTTGTTGCCTGTGAATTTGATGTATTTTAAGTCTGCCCAGTCCTGCTGCTCTATTTGTAAAGGGATCTATCATTGACACTTGCCCAGACTTGTTCGAACATAAGCTAGAGAGAAGAGATAGTACCAAGATTTCCACTGGTGTGTTGGAGAAAAACTTCCATCTTTGGGTGAAAAGCATGTTATCATCAAGGTCAGCCTGCCCAGCTTCCAAGCAGTTGAAGTAACGTGTATCTCCTCTGATTTATCAATAAAGCCCTACTTATTTTATCTATTTCTTCTTCCAGCAGTATTAATACTACTGACAAATTTCTAACAGTCTGTTTAGAGGTGCACCTCTGTATCCAACTAATAGGCCAGGAAAGATTTTCCAAATAAGAATTCTTTTACCAGAGAAATGATTTGTTGTTGTTCGGTGCTGCTGAGTCGGTTCCACTTCATAGCAACCCTATGTACAATGGAAGAAAACACTGTCCAGTCCTGTGCTGTCCTCACAATCACTGCTATATTTGAGTCCATTGTTGCAGCCACTGTGTCAAATCCATCTCGTTGAGGGTCTTCCTCTTTTTTGTTGACCCTCTGCTTTACCAAGTATGATGTCCTTCTCCAGGGACTGGCCCCTCCTGATAACATGTCCAAAGTATGTAAGACAAAGTGTCGCCATCCTCCCTTCTAAGGAGCATTCTGGCTGTACTTCTTCCAAGACAGATTTGTTCATTCTTCTGGAAGTCCATGGTATATTCAATATTCTTTGCCAACACCACAGTTCAAAGGCATCAATTCTTCTTTGGTCTTCCTTACTCATTATCCAGCTTTCAAACTTATATGAGGCAATTGAAAATACCATGGCTTTGGTCAGGTGCACCTTAGTTCTCAAAGTGACATATTTGTTTTTTAATAATTTGAAGAGGTTTTCTGCAACAGATTTGTCCAGTGCAGTACATCCTTTGATTTCTTGACTGCTCTTTCCATGGGCATTGATTGTGGATCCAAGTAAAATGAAATCCTTGACAACTTCAATCTTTTATCAGTTTATCCTGATGTTGCTCATTGGTCCAGTTGTGAGGATTTTTGTTTTCTTGATGTTGAGATGTAATCCATACTGAAGCCTGTATAGTCTTTGATCTTCATCAGTAAGTGCTTCAAGTCCTCTTCACTTTCAGCAAGCAAGGTTTTGTCATCTGCATATTGCAGGTTGTTAACTAGTCTTCCTCTAATCCTGATGCCGTGTTCTTCTTCATATAGTCCAGCTTCTTAGGTTATTTGTTCAGCATATAGATTGAATAAGTATAGTGAAAGGATATAGCCCTGATGCACAGCTTTCCTTATTTTAACCATGCTACCATGCAGTATCCCCTTGTTCTTTTTGGATAACTGCCTCTTGGTCTATGTACAGGTTCCTCATGAGCACAATTAAGTGTTCTGGAATTTCCATTCTTTGTAATGTTATCCATAATTTGTTTTGATCCACACAGTCGAATGCCTTTGCATAATTAATAAAAATGGAATTATTTTCCCTCAGATTTACATGAATATAATGGTCAATGAATGAGGGCATTGGTGGTACAGTGGTAGAATTCTTACCGTCTATGCGTGAGACCTGTGTTTGATTCCCGGCGAATGCACCTCATGTGTGGCCACCACTGGACTATCAGTGGAGGCTTTTGTGTTGCTCTGATGCTGGACAGGTTTCAGCGGAGCTTCCAGACTAAGACGGACTAGGAAGAAAGGCCTGGTGATGTACTTCCTAAAATCAGACAGTGAAAACCCATGGATCACAATGGTTTGATCTGCAACCAATCATGGAGATGGTGCAGGACCGGGCAAGGTTTAGTTCTGTTGTGCATGTGGTCACCATGAGTCGGGGGCCAGCTCAACTGCAGCTAACAGCAACGAATGTTCAGTGAACAGACGTAGACATTTCATAAGATGACAGGGCTTTTTCATGGTCTCTTTGTTAAAGAGAAAAAAGAAAACTTCTTCTCAAATGTATGTCAGTTTAGAGCTAAAAGAAAAGGGATCCAAATTCCACAACTTGGTTTGAACAAGTGTGGAAGTCATGAACGATTGTGCCCATAGAATCCCTAGGCTAAATCGAGCCTACACTGTGTCTTAGTCCTTTCTGGGGCTCCGAGGATCTGGCTCCACCACCACCTTGCCGTCCCAGAAGGCAATGGGCCAACATAAAAGAACTAGAATAAACAAGGAGAAAAGTCGAAAAAAGAATCAGAACTCTCAGTTCTTTTTTCTGCCTAGACTTGTTTTATTCCTTCCTTGTTATTCCTGGAAAAATGCTGTTGTAATCATCTCTTCCAAAGAGAGTTACTTTGCTCTGTCTTGAGGGAAGGAATGCATTTCTACAAGCCAAAAATAAAATAAAATAAGTGCCTTCAGCCTTATTCACCACAGTTTGCCCAGTGTCAGCTGAAACAATTCATCATTATTTCTACAAATCTTGACGGGCAAAATTTTCTTCACACAAAAAATAGCTAGAAGAACCGTGGCTTTGATTTTCACTTAATGCAAGTCGGTTCTTTGTAACAAAAATAATGAGCATAAAACCTATTGATTTTTATTTTCACCGGGGCCTTTTTTTTGGTCTTCCTTCAAGTTTCGCTACCGGCTGTGTTGTGAATGGGAGAAATGTGAGGTGCTCCTGCAAACCGGGATACACAGGAACGCAGTGTGAAAGGTGAGTGCTGCTCCTCCCCAGGGGACCCAGGAGGTGGTGGGAGGGCTCTTTGGGCAGGCTGCTGGTACCCACGCGAGGGTGGGGCTCTGCTGGGTCGAAGCTCAGAGCTAGGGGTGGGGCTGTTAGTTTCACAGAAGGCTGGAGAAAGGTCTCGAGTAATACAAGACTGCTCACTTAATAAATCATTAACTTTCTTCTTTTCCTTGCTTGCTGTTTTTTTTTTCCTTGCTTCAGAAATTTGATTATGAGGCCGGCACGTCATACACACATGCCCACACGTAGCCCTGTATAACCTCCTACATATCCCTACCCACCCCTACACACACCCTACATAATAGGGAGTCCTGAATCCTTCACACAAGTGGCAGTTGGGTTTCAGTTGTAGAATTCACCCCTTCCATGTTGGAGACCCAGGTTTGATTCCTGGAGCAGTGGAGGCTTGCTTGTTGCTATGTTGCTGAAGAGGTTTCAGAGGAGCTTCCAGACTAAGGTGGACCAGGAAGAAAGGCCTGGTGATCTACTCCATGGCAGCTAACAACAACAATTCCTCACACATATAGCTACATCCCTGCATATCTCTACAGACTCCCTTCTCCCCACATATCCTTCACATATCCTTACCCTCATACACATCTCTACATACCTCTACCCCACACACATCTCTGCTACCCCCTATATCCCTACATACCCTTACCCCTCACATGTACACATCTCTATATACTCTACTCCGCACACCACATACTAGTACACATACATACACCTACATACTCACATATACCTGCACACATACACTCCTATGCTCCCCACACTGTGTTACGAATGCTGTAAGGGTAAAGTCTCTGTCCTATTCACTTTTTTTTTTTTTTTATTTAAAATAAAATGTTATTGTGTTTTTGGTGAAAGTTTGTACAGTAAACTAGGCTCCCATTTAGCAGTTTCTATGCAATTTGTTCAGTGACATTAGTTACATTTTTCACAATGAGTCAACGTTCTCTTTCACTGCATTCTCTTTGCTCTGCTTCTGGCCCTCTGGTCTCCCTGCCCTTTTATCTTCTCATCTTTGCTTTAAAGTAATAGTTGACCTTTTGCTCTCATAGATTTTTTCTTTTTTTTAAATAGAGCACCATACTCATGAGTAATATCCTTTGCTTTGTGTGCCACTATGTTATTTTGCTAAAAGGTGGTCTCATAGGATAGTTTCAGTTCAAGGTTTAAAGAATATCTCAGGGTGGTAGTCTCAGGGAGTCATCTGGTCTCAATTGATCCAGCAAGTCTGGATTTTTTAAGAATTTGATTTCTGTTCTGTGTTTTTCTCCCATTCTATCAGAATTCATCTATTGTGGCCCTGTTCAGAATGGTTAGTAGCGGTAGCCAGGCACCATCTAGTTCTTCTTGTCTCAGGGCTGATGAGGCTGTAGCTCATGTGGGCTGTTAGCCCTGTAGGCTAGTGTCTTCTCTGAGACTTTGGTTTTCTTTTTTCTCTTTTGCTCCTGACAAGTAGATACCAGCAGTTGGATCTTAGATGGCTGTTTGCAAGCTTTAAAGACCTCAGACGCCACTCACCTCACTAGAATGCAGAACATGAACTTTGTGAGCTATATTATGCCAATTGACTGAACCCATGAGACTAAGGTCCTAGGCCTTCAAACCCAGGAAACCAGTCTCTTAAGGTGTTTGGTTATGTCTGAGAGGTATCTGTAATTGTGTCCTCTATGAATATATATGCCTACACTCACATAACTTTACTTACATGTATATATAGTTACTTCTATCTGTGCACACATATGTATACACCTGTACCTACCTGTATACCTTATATGCCTATACACATACATGTGTGACCATATACTTGTTTTTTTTTTGGTCATTATTGGTGTTGTTGCTAAATTATATGTATCAATTTTTTTAGCACAAACATCTTTTTGCTTGAGTGCTTCTAAGTGACATCATTTACTTTGGTCAAGCTGTGCTCACTGCACCCACATATGGTGCTCCTTTTCCCATCTCCAAAAATAGCAAGTATCTACACGCTAAAGCATGATTCCCCCTCTCCTAAACCCCTCCCTGGTAATCACTAATGAACATTGGTCTGTATATATAGCTGTTGTCTTCTTATAAAAGTGGGATCATATAATATTTTTCCTTATGTGATTGACTTGTTTTCCTTAGCATTATGTCCTCCAGGTCCATCCATGTTATAATGTTTCACGAACCCATCATTGTTCTTTATGGTTGCATAGCATTCCATTGTATGTATGTACCACATTTTGCTTATGCATTCATCCACCGATGGGCATTTAGGTTGTTTCCATTTTTTTCCTATTGTGATTAAAGTGGCAGTGTATGGGTGTGCATATGTGTGTCCGTGTCTCTTTAATTAGATCCTCTAGGACTGGGATTGCTGAGTCATAAGGTATTTCTGTTTCTAGTTTTTTGAGGAAGCACCATACCGTCTTCCACAGTGGTTGTACTATTTTACAGTCCCGCTAGCAATGGATAAGTGTTCCTGTCTTAGCACATTCTTGCCAACATTTGTTGTTATCTGCTTTTTTATTAGTGCCTTTTAGCCCGGGTGAGATTATATCTCATTGTAGTTTTGATTTGCATTTCTCTAATAGCTGATGATCATGAGCATCTTTTCATGGGTATGTTGGCCACTTGAATGTCCTCTTTGATGAAGTATCTGCTTGTGTCCTTGCCCATTTTGTCTTTTTGTTGTTGAGTTGTTGAAGTTTTCTATAAATTTTAGAGATTAGGCCCTTGTCGGATATGTCATGTCCGAAGATATTTCTCCCAGTCTATAGGTTGTCTTTTTACTCTTTTGATCAAGTTATTTGATGAGTGTAAGTTTTTAATTTTTACGTGATCCCAATTATCTATTTTGTCTTCTGTAGTTTGTGCATTTGTTTGTTTGCGTGTGTTATGTTTGGTAGCCTAATTACTCTCTGTGGGAAGATTAGGTCCCATAGTTTTCTCCTTACATTTTCTTCCAGGAACTTTATAGTTTCAGGCTTAACATTTAGGTCATTGATCCATTTTGAGTTAGTTTTACTGTATAGTGTGAGGTGTGGGTCCTGTTTCATTTTTCTGCAAGTGGATATCCAGTTTGGCCAGCACCGTTTATTAAAGTGACTGTTTCTTCCCCGTTGAATGGACTTTGACTCCTTATCGAAAATCAGTTGTCCGTAAATGGATTGACTTATTTCTGGGTTCTCAATTGTATTCCATTAGTTATGTGTCTATCATTGAACCAATACTAGGCTGTTTTGATTACAGTAGCTGTATAGTATGTTGTGTTATCGAGGAGTATGAGGCCACCTGCTTTGTTCTTCAGTATTGCTTTGGCTATGTGGTATCTCTTTCCTTTCCATATATTGGGTCATTAGTTTTTTATTTCAGTAAAGAATGTTGTTGGTATTTATATTGGCATTGAATTGTATCTGTAGATCACTTTAGGTAGAACTGATATTTTCACTGTATTAAGTCTTACAGTCCATGAGCATGGGATGTCCTTCCATTTATGTAGGTCTCTTTTGGTCTCTTGTAGTAATGTTTTATAATTTTGATTGTATAACTCTTTCATGTCCCTGGTTGGGTTAATTCCTAGGTCTGTCGTATTCACTTCCGAATCCCTGGTGCCTAGCGTGGCACTGGTCTCATAATAGGTGTTCAGTAATGTTTGTGAAACAAAAGAATAAATGTTGCAAGAGTGTGTGCTCAATTATAAACGCCCACACAGCCAGGCTTTAGCTATGCATGAACACATTGTTGTGATTAGCTGCCATGCATATTGTACTCTACTGCATGTTATGAAGGGTATAAAAGATACTTCCTGTCTAGCCGGGAGATGAAACACATATCTGGAAAACACAAAGATAAATGAATCATGCAGACAACATATTTTTAAATTTAGAGTAACTTTATCATAAATCAATGTATATTTATGATAAAAATTATGTAATACTGATGAGCAAAGAACCAGTGAGGCCATCACACCCTACATAGCCCTCTATACTCTTACATGCTGACATACCAAAACCCATTGCCACTGAGTCGATTCTGACTCATAGCGACCTCATAGGACAGAGTAGAGCTGCCCTGTAGGGTTTCCAAGGAGCAGCTGGTGGATTCAAACTGCTGACCTTTTGGTTAGCAGCTGAGTTCTTAACCACTGTGAGCCTTATTAATCATCTGCCTGCAGAAAACCACTGTTAAAAGCTTGCTGTATGTTATTTATTTTGCTGTATATTCTTAAAGATTGTTTCTATATGCACATACTTTTTTTTAAAACAAAAGTAGATTCCTGTTTACTTCTGTTTTGACTTGTTTTCTCATTTAATAATATATTAACATCTTTCCTTATCAGTCAGTTTTCATTAACATCATGTCAGTGACCAAAAAAGTTTCCACTGAGGTTCCATAATCCCCTACTCTTGGTCTTTGGGAGTTCCTAGATGGTGCTAACAGATAACATGTTTGGCTGCTAACTGAAAGGTTGGAGGTTCCATTTCACCCAGAGGTGCTTTGGAAGAGAGGCCTGATGATCTGTTTCTGAAAAATCAGCCATTGAAAACCCTGTGGAGCACAGTTCTACTCTGACACACATGGCGTTGCCATGAGTCAGAATCCACTCAACAGCAACTGGTTTTTCATTGATCTTTGAGATCGTTTTACTGTTTTCCATTTAAAGCCGCACGAAAATCAAATCCTTACAGCTAAATTCTTGTGCACATAAATCCTTAAATATAATTGTAGAAGTGGATCCCTTGGGTCAAAGGATGGGCACATTTTTCAGGCTTTTGATACATTTTGCTAAATTGTCCTCCAGAAAAGTTTTATCCATTTACATTCCTACCAAGACACTGCCTGCCCTGGATAGACACTAAAAATGATGGGTTTTAAAATTATCTACCAACTTGATAGCAAGAGAATGGCATTGTATCTTATTTTGATTTACATTTCTTTGTTTAATAATCTAGTTGGGTTTTTTTTTTTTCATGTGTTTATTGACCATTTGTAAATCTTATTTTGTGAATTGCTTTCCAGATCTTTTATTCATTTTTTTTTCCTATTGGAATGATCTTTTATTTTTTCCTTGATTTGTACAGATTCTTTGTATATAGAAGAAATTAACCATACCATATATTGCAAATATTCTCTATTTTGTTATTTTCTTTTTCATTTTGTTTGTATAAATTCTAGATATACAGCAGCTAAGTTTTATAATAGTTGTGTCGATTTTTTTTTTAATCCTTTAGAGTTTCAGCCATTGATATCATGCTTAGAGAAGTTATATAACTATTTATGCATTTTTGTTAGTACTGTTTTGGTTTGATTTCTGACATTAACATTTTTATTTTGGCAAGAGTTTAGAACATAGCCTTTAAGTAACGCTGCATCTTACATGGCAGATGGATTTAAAGTCACGACTTAAGGCAAAAATTAGCCAGAGTTCACACAATTTTGACTATCCCAACATACCACCTCTCAATTATCCAGGGGCCATGTTGCATGGAATATACATGGTATTTGGTTACACCCCAGGAGGATACTCATTAGGGTGAGATGTTTGTGCTAGAGGCATGAGGGAACCAGATCGACGGGGGAAATAGCAGATTCACCGCGGACTGCATGCCCACTGAGTGAAGTGGGGACAGACACTCTAGCCATTTTCCTTCTCTCACTCTAGAACACTCAAACTCTTGTGCTCTTTCCCTCTCTCTTTTGCCAAGTACATTTATTTGAATTCATCAAAGTTAAATGTGGATACACAAAATTGCCATGTATACTTAGATTTGTTTCTGAACATTTTATTTGGTTCCTGTGCCATTATCACTTCTGTATCATTTCTGGAAGTATAAAATGCCTTTTAATATTTGGTTGGGCAAGTCTCCCCTCATTACCCTTATTTAATTTTTTTCCCTTAATATTCTGGCATATTTTTTTTTCTGGATAAACTTTAGAAGAATTTTACTGAATTTCAAAAAACGGAAAATTAATTCAACCAGATTTCATAGTAAGTAAGGCATGGCCCCCTCTAGATTAGGGTTATCTGAAATGTTTTTATGGACAAGGTGGGATTTAAGTAGATCTAAGAGATGACTGGAACCCAGCTGAGCTGGAAAGTAGAAGGCTGGCTGGGTGGGCGAAGCAATGCAAGAAAGCCCACGGGATGGAGGATACCTGCCATGTTGTGGAAGGCAGGGACTGCCTGATTACAGGAAACTGAACAGTGGCTAGGAGGTCTGGAAACTTTCCTGTGGTAAAGGGAGCTATCTGAGATTCTTTTCCATTTTTCATTTCAGCAAGAGGAACATTTCCCACACTTGCCTCACATCTGTTATTCATTCATTTTTCAATGAAAAATGTATAAAGATCCTAGTATCTGTCTGGCATCATGCTAAGCTCTGTAGATGCCACAGCTGGCAGAGCACAGTTTCTTCCCTCAAGAGTTTTACAGTCCAGTCGTGAACACATGTATCAATAACCCACTAAGATAGCAAGAGATAACATCGCAGGGCAAAGTCGGGCTGCAGTAGGAGGGCATCCCTCCAGCCTTGAAGGGCGAGGAAAGGAAGGGGCTGCTATACTGAGACAGATAGGATGGGTGGGCGCGGTGGGGTTGGGAAGGTATTCTAGGCACTGATTTAACGTGTTACAGGACTCACATCTGTGTTGTTGTTGTTAGTTGCTGTTGAGTCAGCTTCTAATTTAATCCTCCTTCTGGTTCTTCACAGTGAAGCAGAAAACAGTAACAGGCTTGATGAGATACCCATTTGGCAGGCAGCTAATTGGCAAAGAGAAATTCTTAATTAACGGTTATCCCAGTTTATGTTTGTTACATTTAATGTCTTAAGAAAGCAAGCTGTTGTTGTTTTCTAAATTTTTAAAAAACTTTCACAGGTAAATGTGAATCAGAGTTTTTCATTTGTTGAACATTTACTGAATGTTTCTGGCCTCACTCCTGGGACGTGTTGTTAACTACACAATGATAAATACCAGAGTAGGATTATGTACAGGGTGAAGAGTAGGAATATGTTCAGGGAATCTCACTAGGTAGAGGAGGAGGCAGCAGCCTCGGCGAGGAGTCAGGAAAGGGTTCCCAGCTCATACCAAGATCTTATGGCCTTTTTCTCCCTCAGCCAGTTGCAGCCACAGATGACAAATGTGTTGTCTGCCTTTTATTTGTTGTACCAATGTCATCAGTGAAATCAGGAAGTTTTCTTTCAGTCCATTGTTTTAGTCACTACCATATAATGAGAGTCAGGGAACCAGTTGTTTCTGGTGATCAGTAACAAATGCTTTGTAAGAATGGGGAAGTAGTTGAGTCTAACCTCCTGGTACTTTATACATCTGTTACGTGGAAAGTTTAGATATAGGTGAGACATCTAAAAAATTGTTTTCAAACATAAATTTTCTGTGTAGCATGGTTTGTTAGGTAGAATAAGAGTCTGGTCACATGAAGTAAAGCCTGTTTATTAGTACATCACCAGCCTGCGCAGGAGATTAAGAGAAGCCACCTCAGTTTAGTTACCTTCTCTATAATTAAGGGATCCACAGTTTTTCTGCTTCCTACCTGCTTTCTGAAATGTCATAATTCAAAATGATACCAAGTTATATATTTATATAAAACTAATATTTTACCATGTCTTACTATGATCACCACCAACACCTGTTGCCATCGAGTGGATGCTGACTCATGGCGACCCCATGTGTGTCAGAATAGAACGATGCTCCATAGGTTTCCAATGGCTGATTTTTTGGAAGTAGATCACCAGGCCTTTCTTCCGAGGTTCCTGTGGGAAGACTCAAACCTCCAATCTTTAGGTTAGCAGACGAGAGCATTAACCATTTACACCACCTAAGGACCCGCTTGTAATGATAGCTACCTTTCACTGAGTGCCTGTTATGTGCAGGCATTTTGCTAGATACTTTTCTACATTATCTCATATGTCAACCAAAAAGATATTATTAGCCTGCTCAGTCATTTATTCATTTATTCAACAAATATTTGATATGTAATATCTGCCAGGCACTAACCCAGGTGCTAGGATATATCAGTGGAAAAAACAGCCAAAAAATATGTACCTTCATGGAGTTTACATTTTTATGGGGATGGGGGTAGATAAGGAAACTGAAGTTCAAAGGTCAAGACACCAGCCTGAGATCACAGAAGTAGTAAGTGGTGGAAGCAAGGATCCAACCAAGATCTTCCTGATCCGAAATGTGTATCCTTTGTACTGTATCACCAGTGTCTCCATTGATAAAGTGTATTTAAATTGCTACACAGTTCTTTGATGAAAAGCTTAAATTTGGGGAAGAGAGTCAAATACTGTACTTCCTTGACTGTATCAATTTCAATGATGGTAAGACTCATCACACACCAATTTAATGACAATACTTTTTTGGGTGGAGAGGAGGGTTGTGGAACATCACTGTTAGACAGATATATATTTCATTTACATCTTAATTCCAAAAAATGTTAATATGTTTTTTTAATGGAATATGAGTATCAAGGAAATATGGTCTTTTAGCTTGTGAATGAGCAACTGAACACTGCCCGGTTCTTATCGTTAAATTATCTAGAGTAATAAAGGCACTAGGCAAAGGATAGCAGCTGGAACTGTCCTCCAAGTTGTTTAAGCCCGTTATATGCAGCACTGTCACAATTCATGCAAATTTGAATTATGCAGATAATCAATAGAAATAATTTCAGTTGAATTAATGCAATAGAAATATTAATGAAGTCCCACTTCATGCAAAAATTGAAATTATATGAATCTCACTTTATATTTCTTCCTATGAGGAGTTTTGTCTTAAAGCGGTATTTTAATCGTGTGATATCTTTAGGAATACAACTTTGGCATAAAATTCAGCCACCCCTGGTTTCCATACTGGCCAACCACTTGTCCTGCATGCATCTTCTTCATCTGTCATTCATTTCGGGGAGGATTTGAAGACTCTCTAGCCCTAGTGCCAAAGAGGAAAGGAGCAGTCTCTGCCTGCCTTCCACTCTCACCTCTCTCATTCAAGGGCTCAATATCTTGTATTGAAACACATGTTGTTGTTGTTGTTGTTGTTAGGTGCCTTCAAGTCACTTCCAACTCATAGCGACCGTATGTACAACAGAACAAAACAGTGCGCCAGCCTCACAATAGTTGTTATACTTGAGTCCATTGTTGCAGCCACTGTGTCAGTCCACCTCGTTGAGGGTTTTTCTCTTCTTCACTGACCCTCTACGTTACAAAGCATGATGTCCTCCAGGGACTGATTCCTCCGATAATGCGTCCAAAGTATGTGAGATGTAGTCTCGCCATCCTTCCTTCCAAGGAGCATTCTAGCTGTACTTCTTCCAAGACAGATTTGTTTGTTCTTCTGGAAGTCCATGACATATTCGATATTGTTTGCCAACACCATAATTCAAAGGCATCAGTTCTTCTTCGATCTTCTTTATTCATTGCCCAGCTTTCACATGCGTATGAGGCGATTGAAAACACCAAGGCTTGGGCCAGGCAGGCGTTAGTCCTTAAAGTGACATCTTTGCTTTTTAACACTTGAAAAAGGTCTTTTGCAGCAGGTTTGCGCAATGCAGTGCATCTTTTGGTTTCTTGACTGCTGCTTCCGTGGACATTGATTGTAGATCCAAGTAAAATAAAATTCTCGACAACTTCAATCTTTTCTCTATTTATCATGATGTTGCTTATTGGTCCAGTTGTGAGGATTTTTGTTTTCTTCATGTTAAGGTATAATCCATACTGAAGGCTGTAGTCTTTGATCTTCATCAGTAAGTACTTCAAGTCCTCTTCACTTTTAGCAGGCAAGGTTATGTCACATATGTCCTGGCAAATCTATGTCAGCCTGCCTCCCATAGGGTTATAGGTACCTAGATGTTGAGAAAATTGGGTAGACTAAATGATGAGTTATTTGAGTGTTTCTCCTCTTTTCTATATCATATGTAGGTGTGCACCAGGATATTTCGGGAATCCTCAGAAATTTGGAGGTAGCTGCCAGCCATGCAATTGTAACAACAATGGCCAGTTGGGCAGTTGTGACCCCTTGACTGGAGGTAAGATTGACTCACATCTCTGTTAACCTGCATTTATAAAATTAGCATAAAATAACAGGCTAAGAACACAAGCAGAAATTTTCAGGAAGCGTAAGCAAATTAGGCTAACAAATTGTCCCCTTGTTTTGACACCCCTGGTATCGCCTCAGTAGTATTTACAGCCTTGGTGAATAACTTAATTAGGTTTTTTAAAAAAGTAAATTGGTTTTGAAACTCTACTAATTATAGCCAGAATAACTGCAGACCCTACCTTTTGATTTTGCTATAATCTCCCTTTGACATCGTAAGGTTATCGTCCCATCAGCTTTTATCGTGTGTGTATTTGAAGAAGTCGAAGCTCTCTTTCTCGTATAGCAATAGATGATCTGTGGTGTGGTTGGTATAATTGGGATGGAGTTTACGCAACAAGGAAAAGATGATTAGTAGGAGTTAGTGTGGGTTCATTAGGAACAACTAGGAAAAAAAAAAAAAGGAAAAGTCTCCTTCTTCAATAGAGATACTGATGTGATTTATCAGGAGAATGCCATCAGTATGCCGTATTTTTATACAAATCTTTCACATTTGTTTGCCAACTGCGCCTTCCCCCCAAGAAGTATTTTCATAAGCACCACTAAGCCAATTTTTTTTACATGTTGCTGTAAAAAAAAAATTAGCATAGCACGTTTACAAAAATACCTTGGTGGGGAAGGGCGCAATTGACAAACAAACATAGAAGGCACGGGTTATTGGCCTAACAATATGATCGTATAGCACCAAACCATTAGATAAACTTTCATGTTGTATTTATGGACAAGATGAATAACTAAAACCTGGATGTGTGGTTTAGACCTGATCAAATGGATCAAATGATTGTTCCCAAAGGAATACAGAATAAATTAATTAATATCAGCCTAGAAGGAGGTATCTATTGCCCAGGCCACAGGACTTCATCCTTGTCTCTATTTTGCTCAACATTTTTTATTTAGATAGAAATATAGAAAACATGCCTAGGCAATTATCAGATGACATAAAGTTGAGAAGGATAGCAAATGCCTGTGTGACACATTTAGGATACAAAAGGGCCTTAATAGTCTAGAATTATGAGGCAATCGTAATCAACAAAATTATGTTAGGGATAAGAGTGCGATTCTATGTTGTTGTTGCTAAGTGCCATGGAGTCGGTTCCAGCTGATAGCAACCCTGTGTACAACAGAATGAAACACTGCCCAGTCCTGCACCATCCTCACAATTACTGCTGTGTTTGAGGCCATTGTTGCAGCCACTGTGTCAATCCATTTCGTTGAGGGTCTTCCTGACCTTTTTGTCGGACCTTCTACTTTACCAAGCATGATATTCTTCTCCAGTGACTGGTCCCTCCTGATAACACGTCCAAAGTACACAAGACAAGTCTCTCCATCCTCCCTTCTAAGGAACATTCTGGCTGTACTTCTTCCAAGACAAATTTGTTCATTCTTCTGGCAATCCATGGTATATTCAATATTCTTCACCACCACCCTAATTCAAAGGCACAAATTCTTCTTCGGTCTTCTTCTGTGGGCATTGATTGTGGATCCACGGAAAATAAAATCCTTGACACTTCAATCTGTTCTCTGTTTATCATGCTTATTGGTCCACTTGTGAGGATTTTTGTTTCCTTTATGTTGAGATGTAATTCATACTGACGACTGTAGTCTTTAGTCTTCATCAGTAAGTGCTTCAAGTCCTCTTCGCTTTCTGCAAGCAAGGTTGTGTCATCTGCATATCGCAGGTTGTTAATGAGTCTTTCTCCAATCGTGATGCCACTTTCTTCTTCATATAGTCCAACTTCTTCGATTATTTGCTCAGCATACAGATTGAATAAGTATGTTGAAAAGATATAACCCTGACACACACCTTTCCTGATTTTAAATCATGCAGTATCCCCTTGTTCTATTCAAACGACTACTATAGTTGAGTGGAAAACCATCAACCTTTAAGTAGGTCATGAGTGAGATGTGGCTTAGTAGCACGTATGTAAAAAGCCTTAAGGTTTTAGTCAGCAGTAAATTCAGTATGTCTAGAAAGTATGATGTGAGTCCTAAGATGCCTCATAATATCCTGAGTTCTAGTCTCTAAAACCAAGAGATCTGTCATTCCATGCCACACTGCTTACATAAGTCCTCATGTAGGACTTTTGTCTTAAGAAGACAATAGACAAAGTAGAGTTTCTTTAGAAAGAGGGTAAGACTGTGAAAGGACTTGGAACCAGGTTATATGAGGGAGGATTGAGGGAGCCAAGGCAGTAAAAAGAAGACTTGGAAAGCACATATTTGAAAGGTTGATGTGTGGGAGAAGGGTTAGTCTTATTTTACGTGGCACAGAGGATAGAAGATACTGAGGAGTGGAAGCTAGAGGGAGATCTATTTTAATTCATTCTAAAGAAGAACTTTCAAATATTTACAGCTGTTTAAAGATGAGGAGGTCTTTTTAAAAGGAAGTGAATTCTATTATCAGTGGAGGTAGTGAAGGAGAAGCTTCAACATCACACTCAGCCTATTCATGAGGTTAATGCTTCTTCAACCCTCTTTTTCCTGTACTCCAGCCACAAAAATAAGCAACCTGAAGTGGGAGTTGTTCCAAAAATGGAGAAAATGTTCTCATATGGGAATTGCTTGTTTTTGCGAGCTTTTCTTTCTTTCCGTTTTTCAATTAATAATGTGCAGATATCTTGTTTTTTAAAACTCAAATGTGTTGAGAAAATTAAACTGATAAGTCAGTGATCCACATAAGCTGAGCCCCCGTCTTACTTATCTAGTGCTGCTATAACAGAAATACCACAAGTGAATGAGTTTAATAAAGAGAAATTTATTTTCTCACAGTCTAGTAGGCTAAACTCAGGGTGTCAGGTCCAGGGTAAGTCTTTCTCTTTCTGTAGGCTCTGGAGGAAGGTCCTTCTCATCAATCTTGCCCTGGACTAAGAGCTTTTCCAAGCAGGAATCCCAGGCCCAAAGGACACGCTCTTTTCCTGGCGCTGCTTTCTTGGTGGTATGAGGTCCCCTGTCTCTCTGCTCAATTCTCTCTTTTATATCTCAAAAGAGATTGGCTCAAGATACAATCCAGTCTTGTAGATTGAATCCTGCCTCATTAACATGACTGCTGCCTATCCCACCTCATTAATATCTTAGAGGTAGGATTTACAACACATAGGAAAATCATATCGAATGACAAAGTGGTGAACAGTCGCACAATACTGGGAATCAGGGCTTAGCCAAATTGATACACATATTTTTTGGGGATACAATTCAATCCGTGACACCCCCATAGACTCTTGTAGGTGCTGTGGGAGATTGTGAGGGAAATAAGACCATGTTTCCGGGCCATAAGACATTTGCAGTCTAATTGAGCAAATAAGAGTGACACAACTATATATACATGTAAGAATGAGTAAGAGATAAAAAAGATAAAGAGAAACCTATGATTATATATCCCCCATGTGTCTGTCAGTTTGTCGTACTGTGGGGGCTTGCGTGTTGCTGTGATGCTGGAAGCTATGCCACCAGTATTCAGATACCAACAGGGTCACCCATGGTGGACAGGTTTCAGCTGAGCTTCCAGACTAAGACACACTAGGAAGAAGGACCCGGCAGTCTACTTCTGAAAAGAATTAGCCTGTGAAAACCTCATGAATAGCAGTGGAACATCGTCTGATATAGTGCCAGAAGATGAGCCCCCCAGGTTGGAAGGCACCCAGAAGACAACCGGGGAAGAGCTGCCTCCTCAAAGTGGAGTTGACCTTAATGACGTGGATGGAGTCAAGCTTTTAGGACCTTCATTTGCTGATGTGGCATGACTCAAAATGAGAAGAAACAGCTGTAAACATCCATTAATAATCGGAATGTGGAAAGTATGAAGTATGAATCTAGGAAAATTGGAAATCATCAAAAATGAAATGGAATGCATAAACATTGATATCCTAGGCATTAGTGAGCTGAAATGAACTGTATTGGCCATTTTGAATCTGACAACCGTATGGTCTGCTGTGCTGGGAATGACAACTTGAAGAAGAATGGTATTGCATTCATCATCAAAAAGAACATTTCAAGACCTATCCTGAAGTACAGTGCTGTCAGTAATAGGATAATATCCATATGCCTACAAGGAAGACCAGTTAATACGACTGTTATTCAAATTTATGCACCAACCGGTAAGGCCAAAGATGAAGAAATTGAAGATTTTTACCAACTGCTTCAGCCTGAAATTGATTGAACATGCAGTCAGGATGCATTGATAATTACTAGTGATTGAAATGCAAAAGCTGGAAACAAAGAAGAAGGATCAGTAGTTGGCAAATATGGCCTTGGTGGGATTGTGTGATAGAATTTTACAAGACCAATGACTTCTTCATTGCAAATACCTTTTTTCACCAACATAAACGGTGACTATACACATGGACCTCACCAGATGGAATACACAGGAATCAAGTCAACTCCATCTGTGGAAAGAGACTATGGAAAAGCTCAATATTATCAGTCAGAACAAGGCCAGGGGCCGACAGCGGAACAGACCATCAATTGCTCATATGCAAGTTCAAGTTGAAACTGAAGAAAATTAGAAAAAGTCCACAAGAGCCAAAGTACAACTTTGAATTTAGAGACCATCTCAAGAATAGATTTGATGCATTGAACACTAATGACCAAAGACTAGACGAGTTGTGGAATGACATCAAGGACATCATACATGAAGAAAGCAAGAGGTCATTAAAAAGACAGAAAAGACCAAAATAGATGTCAGAAGAGACTCTGAAACTTGCTTTTGGATGTCTAGTAGCTAAAGCAAATGGAAGAAATGATGAAGTAAAAAAACTGAACAGAAGATTTCAAAGGCAGCTCGAGAAGACAAAGTAAAGTATTATAATGACATGTGCAAAGAACTGGAGATAGAAAACCAAAAGGGAAGAACACACTTGGCATTCCTCAAGCTGAAAGAACTGAAGAAAAAATTCAAGCCTCGAGTTGCAATAGTGAAGGATTCTATGGGGAAAATATTAAACAATGCAGGAAGCATCAAAAGAAGATGGAAGGAATACAGAGTCATTATATCAAAAAGAATTGGTCGAGGTTCAATCATTTCACGAGGTAGCGTATTATCAGGAACTGATGGTACTGCAGGAAGAAGTCCAAGCTGCACTGAAGGCATTGAAGAAAAACAAGGCTCCAGGAATTGACAGAATATCAATTGAGATGTTTCAACAAACAGATGGCAGCGCTCAGAGTGCTCACTTGTCTATGCCAAGAAATTTAGAAGACAGCTACCTGGCCAGCCAACTGGAAGAGATCCATATTTATGCCTATTCCCAAGAAAGGTGAGCCAACTGAAAGCAGAAATTATCGAACAATATTGTTAATATCACACACCAGTGAAATTTTGCTGAAGATCATTCAAAAGTGGCTGCAGCAGTATGTCGACAGGGAACTGCCAGAAATTCAGGCCGGATTCAGAAGAGGACGTGAAACCAGGATATCATTGCTCATGTCAGATGGATCCTGGCTGAAAGCAGACAATACCAGAAAGATGTTTAGCTGTGTTTTATTGACTATGCAAAGGCGTTTGACTGTGTGGATCATAACAAATTATGGCTAACATTGCAAAGAATGGGAATTCCAGAACACTTAATTGTGCTCATGAGGAACCTGTACACAGATCAAGAGGCAGCTGTTCGGACAGAACAAGGGGATACTGCGTGGTTTAAAGTCAGGAAAGGTGTGCGTCAGGGTTGCATCCGTTCACCATACCTATTCAATCTGTATGATGAGCAAATAATCTGAGAAGCTGGACTATACGGAGAAGAGAGGGGTGTCAGGTTTGGAGGAAGACTCATTAACAACCTGTGATATGCAGATGACAGAACCTTGCTTGTTGAAAGTGAAGAGGACTTGAAGCACTTACTGGTGAAGATCAAAGACCACAGTCTTCAGTAGGGATTACACCTCAACATAAAGAAAATAAAAATCCTCACAACTGGACCAGTAAGCAACATCATGATAAACCGAGAAACGACTGAAGTTGTCAAAGATTTCATTTTGCTTGGATCCACAATCAACACCCATGGAAGCAGCAGTCAGGAAATCAAAAGACGCATTGCATTGGGCAAATCTGCTGCAAAAGACCTCTTTAAAGGGTTGAAAAACAAAGATGTCACCTTGAAGACTAAGGTGCGCCTGACACAAGCCATGATATTTTCAATTGCATCATATGCGTATGAAAGCTGGACGATGAATAAGGAAGACCAAAGAAGAATTGACACCTTTGAATTGTGGTGTTGGCGAAGAGTATTGAATATACCATGGACTGTCAAAAGAACGAACAAATCTGTCTTGGAAAAAGTACAACCAGAATGCTCCATAGAAGGAAGGATGGCGAGACTACATTTTACATACTTTGGACATGTTGTTAGGGGGGGATCAGTCCCTGGAGAAGGACATCATGCTTGGTAAAGTACAGGGTCAGCAAAAAAGAGGAATACCCTCAACGAGATGGATTGACACAGTGGCTACAACAATGGGCTCAAGCATAACAACGATTGTGAGCATGGCGCAGAACTGGGCAGTGTTTCATTCTGTGGTGCATAGGGTCGCTATGAGTCGGAACCGACTTGATGGCACCTAACAACAACAACATGATTATATATAATAAACTAAAATGTATACAAATATATATAAGGGTAACGGTGATTATCTTGGAGTGATAGGATCAAGGGTAATGTTTTTATCTTATTTTTCTGATTTTCCCAAAATTTCTATAATTAGTTTTTACAATGAAAAGTAAATGTGGTTTAAAATATATGCATAGACACAAAAATGTTGACTGTTACTGGCTGCTGAGAAAAAAAAGTGAAAACATCCTTATGGCATGTCTAGGAAAATTTCAAGGAGTGGTCAAGCTTAGAGTGTTGCTGTGATGAAGTTACATTATTTTTCAAAGGGAAATTAAAGGGCATTTCAGTAAAAAGAACGAACGGCGTGGAAATAAGTGTAGACATGAGAAGGAGTAAAGAATGTCCACGGATGACTAGTAGACTTCCTGACTGTAGCTGAGAACCTCAGATTTCAGTTTGTATGTGCGACAGTTGGCCATCTGGTTTCAGTAACACTGTGTACATATCTCATCACAGAGTCTTTCACACTGCCTCCCTGGGGCTTGTTAAACTGCCGGGCAGAAGGAATTTTTGTCTTGATACCTTAGTATCTCCTAGACCTGGCACAAGGCCATGGTACACAGTGGATGCTCAAAGGTACTCTAAGAATGTTTATTGAATGTTCTTGAATGATGCTGGATGAAACTTGAACAGTTGTATAGGAGGATATCAAAAGAATAGAAGCGTTAACACTGACTATTAAACCCATTACTGTCAAATCAATTCCAACTCATAGTGCCCCTTTAGGACAGAGTAGAAGGCTGTAATCTTTATGGAAGCAGACTGCCACATGTTTCTCCCTCAGAGTGGCTGGTGGGTTTGAACTGCCAGCCTTTCAGTTAGCAGCTGAGCACTTAACCACTGTACCAACCAGAGCTCCTACGCTAACTATTAGGAGTTTTAACTTGGTAAGAATGGTATCTGGAAGCCACCATCAAGTTCTAGAGGGAAAGTTTAATTAATCAAAATGATTCCTGAGGAAGATGACTTTTATAGTGATGACCCTTTTAGAGAGAAGAAACTGAATACATAATAAAGCAGAATTATTATCAGGAGGCCACAAAAGAAGTTCCTACAGCAAGCCTACTGGGAGGTGAGACAGGTCCCTGAGCAATGATGTGGGGAAGGGAGGGAAGAGAAGAGCCAGCAATGCTGGATAGTTGAGTGACCAGAATTTCCTCAAACCAGCTTTTCTGAAAACCAAGCTACAAACTTGATGAAGAATAAGTTTAATAACAATGTCTTTTTTTATTTCTGATTTCAGACTGCATAAACCAAGAACCCAAAGACAGTGGCCCTGGAGAAGAATGTGATGGTGAGAAAAGAAAGCCCCCCTCTCCTTTCCAAGCTGTGGGCTTTAGTTTGATATGTGAGCCCTGTGATGAGACACACAGTTCCCAGTCTGGGAAGGCAGTGGTGGGGGGAAGTGGGAAGAGGTGTGTCTGTGGGTCAGCTGTGTGTCATTTAGGTTTAAGGTCAAATCTAGCCTCTGTCAACTACTAGATGCATGACCTTGGGCAAGCACCCTTCTCCAAGCCTCAGTTTTATCATTTGTACAATGGACATAATAACTATACCTACCTCATACAGTTATTGGGAAAATACTTGTAAATTTGTATCACAGTGCCTGGTGAATAGCAAACACTAAATAAAAGCTATTTATATTATTTTCTCCGTATACAAAATAAGCAATGAGTTGTATAGAATCACCATTTCTTATAGAAATGCTCCCTATCTAGGAATCTCCCCTTTTCAGATTCTGTTGTGCTGTGATTTTTGCCTATGAATATCTTTGTACATATCTGCTGGGCTGTACAGCCCTTGTGCTCTCTTTGCATTCATGTGGCTCCAGCCTGCAGTGCATTTACCTTTGATTGTGGCCCCTACAGATTGTGACAGCTGTGTGGTGACACTCCTGAATGACTTGGCCACAATGAGCGACGAGCTCCGCCTGGTCAAGTCTCAGCTACAGGGCATGAGTGCCAACGCAGGGGCTCTGGAGCAGATGAGGCACTTGGAGACCCAGACCAAGGACCTGAGGGTAAATACCCAGTGGGTCTAGCATGGTGCCTGGTCTAGAGTAGATGCTCAAGAAAAGATGCCGCATGAGTGACTACTCCTCTAACAGGAAAGAGGGAGAGGTTGGGCTTTTCTCCTTCTTCTGATTCAAATGAGGATTGGTTTTTGCTGGTAGAAAGTACTAACTAAGTTAACATTTCTAATTGAAAATTCTTTACTTACTAGTTGCTTCTGGGCTAATTTTTCTCATAGAACGTTTAGCTCAGTATTTTCCATACAGAAGGCTCTCAAAAACAGGTTTGTGTAGAACTGGTATTAATTTTTCCTTAAATATTTGATAGCCTTTACCAGTGACAGCATCTGGCCTGGGATTTTCTTTGTTTGAAGGTTTTGTTTTGTCTTGATTTGTTTTTTTTTAAACTACAGATTCCATTTAAAAAAGATATGGGACTATTTGGCTTACCTGTTTGTTTTCTTTCTCCCTTGAATGATATTTTATAGTTTGTGTCTTTCAAATAATTTGTCCTTTTCATCTAAACTGTCAAATGTATTGACATAAAATTATTGATAATGCTTCCTTATCCTTTTAATTCGTGTAGGATCTGTAGTGATGCCCTCTTGTTTAATTCCTTATATTGATAATTTGTGCCTTATCTGTTTTTTTCTTGATAATTCTGGCTAGAGATTTATCAAGTTTATTGATCTTAAAGAACTTTTAGTTTCATTGATTTCACCATTGTTTTCCTGTTTTCGATTTCATTGATTTATATTCTTATCCTTATTTTTTCTCCATTCTACTTACTTTGGTTTTTAATTTGCTCTTTGTTTTCTAGTTTCTTAAGATGAAAGCTTATTTTATTGATTCAAAACCTTTACTGTTTTCTGATATAAACATTTAGTGCTGTAAATTTGTACCACAAATTTTGAAATGTTCTGTTTTCATTTTCATGTAATTCAAAATATTTTATAATTTTCCTTGGTTCATATCTTTGACCCATGAGTTATTTAGAAGTGTGTTGTTTAATTTCCAAATTGGGGATTTCCCAAATATCTTTCTGCTGTTGATTTCTAATTTAACTCCATTGTGGTCAGAAAACATACTTTATATGATTTCAGTTCTTTTAAATGGGTTGAGGTTTGTTTTATATGCCAGGATATGGTCCATCTTGGTGAATATCCCATGTGCACGAGGAAAGAAGGTAGCCAGTAGAGTATCCTGAGAAATAATAGGGACTAAAGTGACCCCTAAGTGGCCAGAATCAGGCTCCGTGAGGGAAACAGAGGATTCCCCCACCATGAATAGAGGCTGAAAAGCCAACTCTGAAACTGACCACTGCTCACTGTTGGGCTGTAACTATGTGAAAACTGAAAAGCTAGAGGAGGCAGTCACAGCTTGGATCTGTGATATCCTCAACATCACCATAGTATACAAGTCCTGAGCTGCCAATATAAGACCTGGTCCTGAACTGATGGACTTCGGGAGGATCACAACACAGGGCACGGAGAGTGCAGAGGGAAGGAAACCTCTGACTCAGAATGAGCCTGCAAGCATTTTCATAGACAAATAACAATAAGAAAGATGCTCAGCAGAAGCAACAGACAAGAGATGAGTACACTTTCGACAAAATGAAAGTGGTGGGAAAATCTGAAAATTTCTTTGAGGAGTAACACCCAATAGAAGGAACAAGAAATTAGGAAATATAAAAAAATCCAAAAAACAAATAAATTAACAAAAACAAAACAAAACAAAAAACGGCTCACCAGAAATCGAACAAGAAGAGGTAGATATAAACATATCCAATTAAAAATGAAGGAAATAAAAAAACATAACTCACTGAAGTAAAAGATTTCAGTGGGTGAGATAATCCCTAGGCTAGACACAGTCAAAGAGGCTTTGGGGGAAAATTTAATAGGGGCTTTTGGAATGAGGGCTTGATTCTAAACCCATTAGTGACTGTAGCTAAGTAGATATAGCAAAAAAAAAATTCTATAAAAATGACTCTCTTCCATCCCATCAGGGGAAATTTAGTCCATGGTTTACAGGCTTAATACAGAGGAGAGAGAGAGAGAGAAACAAAAAAAGCCTTTATGTTTTGAGAGATGAAGAAGCCACTTCAGTTACTTTGATTTCATGAATTCAGCCCTACACTTCTTCAAAGAAGGGAAGGGAACTAACATTTTTGTACTCATACTGTGTGCCAGGCTCTGTGCTAAATACTTTACTTAACCCTCACAATATTCCATGAGGAAAATAGTGTTATTTTCACTTAAAAGGTATAGAGGAGCTAGATAACTTGTCCAAAATCACACACTAGTGTATGGCAGTTCTAGAAGAATTTGATCCAAGATCAAATTCTAAAGGCCGTGCTTTACCCACTGCACCTCTAATCCAGGCATTCTGCTAACGTTCTACATAATGATGAGCCTCAGTTTTCCCATTGTAAAGTTAAAATATCTTCTTCCTCTATCACACACACACTGTGAAAATTTGGTAGGAATAAGTATGAAAAGAGAACTAACTTTTTTTTTTTTTGGCTTTCAAGAACAAAAATTTATTTTCTCACAGCTCTGGAGGCTGGAAGTCTGAATTCATGGTGTTGGCAGGGCTGTGCTCTCTCCGTAGGCTCCAGGGGAAAATCCTTCCTTGTCTTCTTCTTCCTGGTGTTTCTTGGTGTTTCCTTGGCTTTAGAGGGATCCTCACATGCTGTCTTCCCCCTGTCTGTGTCTCCCTGTCTGTTCTCCCCTTTTATAAAACACCACTCAGAAGGGATTAGGATTAGGGCCCACCCTAACATCTTCAAAGAAAGACCCTATTTTCCCAAATGAGGTCACATTCACAGGTACAGGGGTTAGGACTTCAATATATCTTTTTTTAGACACTCTGTGAGAACTGACATTTTTGAATGCACGTGTGTGCATGACGTTTTATAATATATTAGCTCATTAATCATCAAAAGCAACTGCAGTTAATACTGTAATCCCCAGTTTACTGATGAAGGAGATAAGGTTCAATAAGGCTCAGCTAGTAAGTGGTGTACTGAGAGTTTGAACATAAATCTTTTTAGCTCTAAAGCCTGTGTTGTCTTACTCAACGCTGGCTCTCAAATATGAATCTAGGTAAAAGTATTGCTTTTCCTTGTGAATTTTTTCCAAGGTATTAATACATCTTTCCAATAAATTGAAAATAATCATTACTGTAGATATTATATGCAGCAATGTCACCCTCTAAAAATAATGAGGCATTTGGACAGGAGACTGGATTCTGGTCCTGAATCAGTCACTGATCATTATATGACCATGAACAAGTTCCTCAACTTCTTTGGGCTTCTGTTTTTTCATTTGTAAAATGAGGATATTCAGTTAAATGAGCTATCATTCCCCTCTAGCTCTACAATTCTTAAAATCTAATGGTCCCTTCAATAAAGGAGCCATACTGTCTGTTTTCAGTATTATTAGCTTAAATATACCAAAAAAAAAAAAAAAAAATGCAAACCTGTTGCCAATTCCGACTCATAGCAACCCTACATAAGTTTTTAAAAAACTGAATTGATTATAGAATCTAGAAGTTAATATTTCAGATAAGTAGTATCACCCTCATTTCTGTAAGGTTAGGTCAGTAAACTATCTCTTCTCTTCACTTTTTAAAAATTTGCTACTTTATTTTAGAACCATATCACAATTTACATTGGAAAGTAAATTCTTCATGTAGCCTATTTCGAAGAACCACATTTTTTCTGTAGAACCAGCATTGCTAAATGAATCTTTTGATATCATTAGCAGGTTGTACAGGGTTGTTAGGACTTTCAATTTCTGCTCTAAAGTGAGATTAACTTTGTATTTTATTTTCAGAATCAGTTGCTCAACTACCGTTCTACCATTTCAAATCACAGATCAAAAATGGATGGCCTAGAAAAAGAACTGAGTAATTTGAATCGTGAATTTGACACTCTGCAAGAAAAGGTAATGTGTTAGGTCAATTACCTTAGTTTTCTTTTTTTTAATTTCAAAGTGTTTAATATTTTTTCCCTGTAAACTGATCAATTTATTTTTTATACAGGTTCAAATGAATTCCAGAAAAGCACAAACATTATATAACAATGTTGATCAGACACTCCAAAGTGCAAAAGAGCTGGACACAAAGATTAAAAACATCATCAGGAATGTTCACAGTAAGAAGGGCTGTTTAGTCCAATTAAATACTTTTTATTACATGGCCTTTATTGTACACTGAAAATTTTCTTTTTAAGCGTTCAACATTATGAGAAAGGTCCTGTGTTGACTCATATGAATCCTCCATAAAAATCTCTAACTTTTTTTTTTCAGTAGTCGTCTGGAGCCCAGAATTCTAAGTTTAATAAACTATTCAATGTTTTCTAGTTCTCTTGAAGCAGATATCTGGGACAGGTGGAGAAGGAAACAACCTGCCTTCAGGAGATTTTTCCAAAGAGTTGGCGGAAGCAGAACGCATGATGAGGGAAATGCGGAACCGCAACTTTGGAAAGCAGCTGAGAGAAGCCGAAACAGAGAAAAGGGAGGCTCAACTCCGTAAGAATTTTCCCGAAATCTGCATCCATTTTGTTCTAACTAGATTGAAATATCATGTGCAAAGTAGAATCCCTAGTTACAGGTGGAAAACCTCATTGTCCCTGTGTGTATGGCTATTAAAGTATCACAGGAATATATTGTGCTCTGGTACAAGTGGGTAGCTCCACAGGAGACCAAGAGTCCTTTATCCAAGTTACCAAAAGGTTCTAGAATATAACATCTTACCATCACCCCCCCAAAAAAAACTTCTCCTAAAAGTTAGCTATTGATGCCTCATATTCCTTTTTAACTACAATTTCATTCTTTTAACTTTCTTTCAGCTCTTCCCAACTTTCTCATTATATCATTTTTTTAAATTATTATACTTTAGATGAAGGTCTACAGAACAAACTAGCTTCTCATTAAACAATTAGAACACATAGTGTCTTGTGACATTGGTTACCAGCCCCGTGACATATCAACACTCTCCCTTCTCGACCTTGGGTTCCCCATTACCAGCTTTCCTGTCCCCTCCTGCCTTCTCATCCTTGCCCCTGGGCTGGTGTGGCCCTTCAGTCTCATTTTGTTTTACGGGCCTGTCGAATCTTTGGCTAAAGGATGAACCTCAGGAGTGACTTCATTACTGAGCTAAAAGAGTGTCCAGAGGACATTATATCTTTTTTTTAAGCATTGGATTTTTAAATGAGAAATTGGTGTTAGCACTACTATTTCAAAAACAAAAAATGGATATACTAGAAATTAACTGTCTATATTGAATGGTTTTGACTAGGGAAAGTGCCTCATTAGCTCAAAACGATGAGCAATATGAGTTGAGTGCCTGCTTTTTTCAAATACTGATACTTATTTCCTAGTAAAATGATGTATCAATGATTAATGTACAGATAGGACCAGTTTTCTTTTAGCATTTGTATTATTTAAATTTAATATTAGTCTGGTAAGGAGAGAGAATTAGTAGTGGAAAAAGCATGTTTTTAATACTCCAGCAGATCTCATTCAAGTCCCAAGCCTGACCAGTCTTATAACCGTGGGGAGATCACCTCATTTCTCTGTGCCTCCATTTCCTTGTGTGATACATGAGGATGATAATTATCGTTTTCATGGGGCTTTTATGAGTGTGCAGTGAGGCAGTGTGTACAACACACACACAGGTGCTTGGGTAAACATTCCTTTCCTTTCCCATTCCTTCACAAGTTCAAGGAAATGCATGCAATTAGCAGAAACTCAGTTCTCCCTCTGCAGTCTCTAAATTAGCTTCAATATAGTCATCTCTTACATGGAAAACATAAAATGGTGTGTTACAGTGCTGACTCGGATAAGAAGCTGGCTGGAAAACCACCAGGTGGAGAACAGTGGACTTGTTAGGAGTATACAAGATTCTTTAAATGAATATGAAGCCAAACTCAATGACCTTCATGGGGCTCTACAGGAGGCAACTGCCCAAGCAAAGCAGGCCACTGACCTCAACCAAGACAATGAGAGAGCTTTGGAAGCCATCAAGGTGAGTTCACGGCTGGAGTCCACATACTTTCGTTAATGATAAAAGTGAGGGAAGCAAGCAACTTTATTATGACTAAGCTAGTCGGTATGTCTAGTTGTTGTTGTTAGCTGGTGTTGAGAAGAAATGCTGCCCGGTCCTGTGCCATCCTCATGATTGGTTGTGATCCATAGGATTTTCACTGGCTGATTTTTGGAAGTAGATCTCCAGGCCTTTCTTACTAGTTCATCTTGGTCCGGAAGCTCCACTGAAACGTGTTCAGCATCCTAGCAACATGCAAGCTGTCTCTTATAGATGGGCCTCTTACAGATTACCGCTTCAAACTTATCCAACAGAAATGAGGCACTAATGCAAAATCAAAAGTTGTTTCTATTCCTCAGCTAACAGAAAAGATTCTGAACTTAAACCACAGAAAAAACTGCTTCACCCCCACCTCTGGCTGCAAGAGCATTGGAGGAATAATATTGCCAACTAGATGAGAAATTAAACTAATTATAATTAACTAAAAGTGTATATTTTATGTTTTAAACAACTTAGCTTATATGTTGGATATGTAACAATCATTATCATAATCACCAGCTGAGTCATTTTAAGCCATTACCTGCTTTATAGGAAATAAGTTAAAGTACAGGCTGCATACAGAAGCTTCAGCGACAGAATTTAGAGCTGAGATTCTATAGCATACATTTTTAATGGTGAACATCATAAGCTAGAACAACAGCACAAACATGAGGAGTTAAGAAATGACAGAAGGAGCCCTGGTGGCACAAATGGTTAAGCCCTGGCTGCTGAACGAAAGGTCGGTGGTTGGATCCCACCCAGCAGGTCCCGGGGAGAAAGAGCTGGCAGTCTGCTCCCATAAAGATTACAGCCCAGAAAACCTTATGAGGCAGTTCTGCTCTGTCACCTGGGGTCACCATGAAGCAACTCGACGGCACCTAACAATCACAACAGGAAATGACAGTAAGATCAAAGTAGAATAACAAAGGGCTGACCCCAAAAAGGAAGAACTGGGTAAAATAAAATAAAGAAGATGTCAGCCGATGACTATATGCTTAGCTCCCAAGTCCTCATTAGGTAGTGACACCTTGGCTTGGCTTCTAGAAGTCACTGGTTATACCAAGGAGAGGGAGCAGGACCCAATTTTATGGGTCTCTGAACTTTGGGAGCCTTCTGACCTAGCATTCTCAGCTCCTATGTCCTCTCCCATTGAAGTTACCTCCAGATCCTCATTAGGACTGGCATGTAGAGTGTGCTGATGGTTGGTGCTAGTTTAGTTAGTTAAAATTCCTCATTCTGTCCCACAAACTAGAGCTAGAACATATATCCACCTCATTGGCCGAGCTGACCCTAGTGTAGAACCTCCTCCAGCAGTAATGGTGGTTGTCCAGTTGGCATATAGTTTAAGAAAACTATGGCGCCACTCCCCCACTGCAAAGACACCAGATTTCCCATCATGTTGTGGTTGTCTTGATGATCTTTAAGTCAACACATTCAAGAAAACATTCTGGCTCTGAAATTACTTCTGTGCTGTTGTCTGATAAATGTGTCTGTGTCTCTTGATAATATATCATGCAGCTCAAGTACGTATTCTTTGTATTCTCTCCAGAGACAAGTTAAAGAAATAAATTCCCTGCAGAGCGATTTTACCAAATATCTCACCACTGCAGACGCTTCCTTGCTGCAAACCAACATCGTGCTTAAGCTGACGGAGAAAAGCCAGAAGGTAAGGAAGACACTTGTTCTCTAGAAATTCTAAAAACACTTAAGTTATATTGCAGTGAAACTATAAGATGGACTGACCTATTTTTTTCTAAGTCTATGTCTCTTAAATGGAAGATCCCAAAATGCTAACAGTTGTTCTCGCTTAGGGGAGGGGTGTGAATGAGCTCTTTTCTATGTGTCTAGCGTCTTCTCTAATTTGTCCGCAATAAGGAAATTCTACTTTTATGATAACAAAAAATCGTGATGCTATTTTAAAAATGTTAGGCATATCTTTGTTAACAGAAAACATTTAGGACTAATAAAAGTTTTACAAAATTTTTTAGCAGCTCAATGGCCATTTTGAAAATATCTATAATAGTAATTTCTAAATCAGGAAAAAAAGTGTTTTGCTTTAGTACAACTTCACTTTAATGACAATAGTGTATTTCTACAAAACTTATCACAGAGGGTACCTACCATCAAGAAAATGTTCAAAATGCCTTTAAGATCTGAAGGAATATTTTCAGTGTCACTATCAGAAGGAAACCAAGGATTAATTGGTCTGGTAAATGGGTTTAGAAAACATAATTTCTCTTTGCTATCTCCTGGAAATATGTCATCTATGACAGAGTTCAAGAAAATGGTATACATAGTCTTTGCTTAAATTTATATTGTCTTGTTTTACTTGGGAAAAAAAAAAAAAACAGGACTATGAAAAATTAGCTGCCACCTTAAATGCAGCAAGACAAGAACTAAGTGACAAAGTGACAGAACTTTCCAAATCTGCTGGCAAAGAATCACTGGTGGTGGAGGCAGAGAAGCACGCTCAGTCTTTACAGGAGCTGGCGAAGCAACTGGAAGAGTGAGTAGATGGCCGCAGTGGGTGTGCCGTTTGCGCGTGGCATTGTCCTGAGCCATGTGTGAAATCCCTCCCCTTTGCTAGCCGGGTCTCCAGAACAGGGTGGAGGGATGGGAGAGCAAAGCTGAGCCCAGCCGTGAGAACCGGGGCACAGGCCAGAATCAGACCAGCAGCAAGAAAGCTCATTCCCAGCCTCGTCCATTGGGGCAGGCAAAGCTGTAAAGTCCACGACCTTGGGTCTTGATCGGCCAAAAGAAGTAAGAAGGCTCCAGTGGCCTGGGCTGCAGGCAGGGGAAGGCTGCTGGAGGACTTAAGTCATACAATCTTCCAGGATCAAGAGAAACGCCAGTGGGGATGAGCTAGTGCGCCGTGCGGTGGATGCTGCCACTGCCTACGAGAACATCATCAACGCCATCAAAGCGGCCGAGGATGCAGCCAACAAGGCCACAAGTGCATCAGAGTCTGCTCTCCAGGTGAGCACCTGCATTTCTGGAAGATGGCATGTTTTTTTATGTTCTTTCACGGTGCACTGAGAAATATAAAAATGCATTTTTTTCTCAGAATTTGTTATACAGAATAGATTTGAACTTGCTCTAGATATGGGCCATTTCTGTGTTTACTTTACTGTTTGATATATGTTGTTGTTGGTTGCCATCGAGTCAGTTTCAACTCAGGGTGACCCCGTGTGCATCAGAGTAGAACTGTTCCATAGAGTTTTCAAGGCTGTGACCTTTTGGAAGCAGGTTACCAGGCCTGTTTTCCAAGGTGCCTCTGGGTTGGTTCCAACCACCAACTTTTTGGCTAGTAGTTGAGCGCTTAACTGTTTGCACCACCTAGGGACTCTTCTTGATGTATGTAGCACAATTTAAAAAACTAATCTTGTGAAACCAGATAGAAATAACATTGATTATCAATATTAAACCAAAATAATATATTCTGTTTCTACCAGGTATGCTTTTATAATGTGACTAAGTATTAATATTTACCAAAAAAGAGAAATTTTTCTAAGCAATTTGATACATATTTTCTCCCATTTGGTCTTGTCTACCTCGGCATGTCTGTGGAGTCCTTTGGGATCTTAAATGCACTTTATACTATTCCTATATCTGAATAAAAAGAACAAAAACATTAGCTATCAAAGAGTTGGGAGGCAGACCTCCTTGGAAGATTGAAGACTTTATCTCCTAAATCTTAAAAACCTGAAGCCAACTAAGTTCTGTCTTCATTACTGTAGGAGATCTTACACAAGTGAGCAACTGAGACAGGGTCAGAGGGGACAGATTTGAGTCATATAAGGTGGAGTGTAAGTTAGACAGTTGTTGTCGTGTGTCATCTAGTCGGTTCTGACTCATAGTGACCCTGTAGGACAGAGTAGAACTTCCTCGTAGGGTTTCCAAGGAGCAGCTGGTGGATTCGAACTGCTGACCTTTTGGTCAGTAGCCTGAGTTCTTAACCGCTTGGCCACCAGGGCAGTAGGTAAGACTTAATGACTGCAGATGTTGTGAAGCTCCAGCTCACCATGACCGAGATGGACCAGGCAGTCTCCTTTTCTGGCTGCTCTGAAGAGGGATGGATTGGTGGCTGTTCTCTGGTCTGAACATGGGCCTGGCCAGGGGGTAGAAATCAGTGACCTTCAATGAGGAAATACTGAAAAAATGAAACTGTGTCTAGAAGGTGTCACATAATTTGTCAGCATTAGTCACCGGCGATGGGGCCGCCTCTCCAAGCCAAATCTGTCTGCCTAGAGCTCTAACTGTATCTTAGGGAACAGTCTTCTTCCATCCTCCCTCTTCCCCCGAGCTTCATCTTTTAAAGATTGAAGATAAGGGCTTTAGGGTAGGATGAAAAATCTTACTCTGTATTTCCTAAGGTATTCCATATGTTTAAGGCTCATAAATGCTTTCCTTTCAGACAGTGATAAAGGAAGATCTTCCAGGAAAAGCCAAACTTCTGAGTTCCGACAGTGATAAACTGTTAAATAAAGCCAACATGACACAGACAAAGCTACGGCAAGGTACGGGGTGGCGGGGGTGGGGGAAAGGCAGGGATAGTCAAGGGCTTAAAAATGACCTAGAGGACAAGGAGGGGCAGCCCTAGAAGCAAATACTCTTTTTGAATCCTAATGTCAAGGCAGATGGATACTTTTTTTTTTACAATTGTACTTTAGATGAAGGTTTACAGAGCAAACAAGTTTCTCATTAAACAATTAACACACATACTGTTTTGTGACATTGGTTGCCAACCCCATGACATGTCAACACTCTCCCCTTCTCAGCCTTGGGTTCCCCATTACCAGCTTTCCTGTCCCCCGCTGCCTTCTCGTCCTTGCCCCTGGGCTGGTGTGCCCATTTAGTCTCGTTTTGTTTTATGGGCCTGTCTGATCTTTGGCTAAAGGGTGAACCTCAGTAGTGGCTTCTTTAATGAGCTATAAGGGTATCTGGGGGCCATACTCTTGGGATTTCGCCAGTCTCTGTCAGACCAGTAAGTCTAGTCTTTTTTTGTGTGTGTGAGCTAGAATTTTGTACTACATTTTTCGTCAGCTCTGTCTGGGACCCTCTATTGTGATCCCTGTCAGGGCAGTCGGTAGTAGTAGCCAGGCACCATCTAGTTGTACTGGACTCAGTCTGGTGGAGGCTGTGGTACTCTGTCCTATAGGGTCGCTGTGAGTTAGAACCAACTCAACAGCATCTAACAACAACAACAACAGTGCCAGACAGGAGCCCTAGTGGCACGATGGTTAAGCACTCGGCTGCTAACTGAAAGGTCGGCAATTCGAACCCACTAGCCGCCCTGAGGGAGAAAAGACCTGATGATCTGCTCGCATAAAGATTACAGCCTGGGAAACCGTATGGGGCAGTTCTGCTCTGTCACATGGGGTCACTGTGAGTCAGAGTCGACTCGATGGTACACAACAACAGCAGTACTAGATACCACACTATGTGTTAGAACACCACAGGGAGCAAGACAAACGCATCCCCTTCCTTCACTCAGCAGAGTCTTTGAACTCAGCAGAGTAGAAGTTAAGGCCTCTCCCCGCTAAGTTATTTAGCCTCTCCCTTTCTTTGTGTGTATTTCCAAGGAGTCTGATACCACATGGCTGTGGTAGTCTCCAAGTCTCTGTACCAGGAGGGCCCTGGAGATGTGGGTCTGGACACACTGCAGTGGGCATCTCTGGTATGACTGCTAAGATGCAACTCTACTCAATGCTGTGCAGACTCTGGCTACTTCAGGGTCCACAGATACCAGTGGAGGGTCAGTATCCACAGAGTAATTATGTCTTCATGCTTTATTTTAGAAATCAGTCCTGCTGTCAACAACCTACAGGAAACCCTGCATACTGTGACTGTTCAGAAAGGGCAGATAGAGACCAATCTCACTACTGTTCGTGATGATCTTCGTGGGATACAGAGAGGTCAGCGTCTCTCTAGCCCCTTGTACTTGACTTCTGTTGTTGAAGATCTTAGATATGTATGCCTCCCTTTTTGTGTGTGCAATAGGTGACATCAGTGGTATGATCAATAGTGCCAAGAACATGGTCCGAAATGCGAACGACGTCACAAGTGAAGTTCTGGACGGGCTCAGCCCCATTCAGACTGATGTGAAAAGAATTAGTGATACCTATGGGAGCACGCAGAGTGAAGACTTCAACAAGGCTCTGACTGATGCGGATAACTCAGGTACCAGGCATTTTTGGGCCAGAATGTATTATCCATTTATTTTCTCCATTGTTATGGGTTTTGGGTCCATCTTAGTTCTTCCTGGATCCTGGGTGGCATAATGGTTAAGATCTATGGCTGCTAACTAAAAAGTTCAGCAGTTTGAATCCACCAGCTGCTCCTTGGAAACCCTATGGGGCAGTTCTACTCTGTCCTATAGGGTCGCTACGAGTCAGAATCTACTTGGCGGCAACAAGTTTGGTTTTTTTGGTTTTAGTTCTTCCCTGGTAAAGTTTGATCACAGAAATTAAGACATTAGAAATTAGCTTCACATAATAAATTCAAAGTGGTATTCTATTAGTTAAATTAGACCAGGTAGGATTTCTTTTTTAATCTACTGGCAACGCTGTTGATTCTACCCCTTGTAAACCAGTTGCTGTCAAGTCAATTTTGACTCATGGTGACCATGTGAGTCAGAGTATAACTGTGCTCCATAGGGTTTTCAGTAGCTGATTTTTTGGAAGTAGATTGCCAAGCCTTTCTTCCAAGGTGCCTCTGGGTGGGCCTGAACCTCCAGCCTTCTAGTTAGCAGCTAAGCGTGTTAACAGTTTATACCACCCAGGGACTTCTTCCCCGTTAGAGAGTGGAAGTTTAGGTCTCTGAATCATGAAGTATTGAATTATGATTGATGTTAAGTATCAGAAACAAAGATTTGTTTTTTTTTTCCTGATAGTAGTTAAGAAAGAGGATTTGATACCTAGCAGCAGAATAAAATCCATGATACATTTAGAAAGGATATTACCTGATTCTAATCCATCCTGTCCAACAGTTGGGGCTCAAACATATCACTTAACACTTCCTATTAGTAAGAACATCTGTATTTAACCTATTCTCAACTCACAATTATAAATTTCTGTTTTCTAATGTCACCAACAGTAACAAAATTAACCAACAAACTGCCCAGTCTTTTGAGCAAGATTGAAAGTATCAACCAACAGCTGTTGCCACTGGGAAACATCTCTGACAATGTGGACCGCATACGAGAGTTAATTCAGCAGGCCAGAGATGCTGCAAATAAGGTGGGTATGTCCCTGTGTGGCTGGTCGTCAAGGCTAGTTCTTTGATAAGTTACCACCTTTATGGAGAAAGGAAGGCAATTACTGACTCAAGAGTCAGTTGTCCTTCTTGCCCTAATTCTTTGGTTGCTTGAAATATGGAAATTGATTTCCTCCTGTCGTCCTTCATAGGTACACGTCACCTTAATCCCCTAAATTATCTGGTATGTCAGGGACCTGGAGTGGTTTCCTCCCCAACTGAGTTTTCACAAGCAGGAAGAAGGATTTTGATCCAGGCCCCAGTTAATAAATTGTTATTGCAAGTTAAAGTGAAGGTTTTGTGAGCAGAATGTGCTAATATGATATTACACAAGAGCTACTTTCTTATTGTAGCTTGAAGGCTGTAGAATCCACCTTTATTGAGAAAGGAGGAATGGTTCCTACCAGCCTGGGCAATGTTCTAATCACAGGATTACAGCAATTTTTCATCATTGGAGCACTGATTGATCAGCCTTCCTAATTTTAACCTGGCATCATTGGCTTGAATTGCTGACACTCCTCTCTTACAATTTGTTTTGTATTAGAATAATATAAATGAACTATATTTCTTGATGGTTTCAATCCAGCCTCCTGCAAGATGTTTGAAGGTAGAGGGTTGGAAAGCCAAGTCAGGCTCTCTGTGTTCTGGTGGTATCACGATTGATTTCTAGACTCAATATGACTTCTTTTGAGCCTCAGAATCTGCCCTTTCTTCTAGAAAAGAGAAGTACTCCCAAAGTAAAGCCTTTAACAAGAAAACAAAGCATAGGGCAGAGTTTGGAAGAAACTACCTACTTCACACCCATACCCATAAAAAATCTGTAGCCATCAAGTCGACTCCAACTCATGGCGACCCCATGTGTTTCAGAGTATAAGAGAAAAGGATGAAGTGCGCCTGTAAACGTGGATGAGGGAACTTAGTTATCAGCACCTTGTAGGGACTGCAGCTCACTCACCTCTAGGCCCCCTGCCCTAATGCCTTGCATATACAAGACCCTCGATAAATACTTAAATGTTTGATAGATAAAACATAGGGTTGGTGTAAGTATTATTCCAGAAGTATTATTCTTTAGATTGTTCAAGAATGTTTATTTTCTGTATTTTAGAGCAGAGTTACCCAAAATGTGGTCCACAGACCAGTGCTGGTCAGAGAACTTTTGTTACTGGTCTGTGACAAGGGAAGTATGAAAGTTGAGAGTAAATGTTTAGGAACTTGTAATGATTTGAATTGTCTCAACATCCAAGCATGTCGTTAATGGACTTGTATTTCATATACCTTGTTGATTTTATTTTTCTAGTAATTGAATTTTTATTGTAGTTTATATAATTAATGGTCCTTCACCAAAGAGTTTGAGAAATGCTGTTTTAGAAAACCTGGATGCACTCACTTTTAAGGATGGAATGCTTGCGGTAAATGCAACCGTAACATGTTATATGCTACTGGAAAACAGTTCCTCAAGAAGTTTATTGTAGAAAAATATTTTTGATGTCTTATTTGTCTGGTATATGCCAGACACCTTACTGAGTGTTTCCATACATATTAGTTCAGCTACACAAAAACCTAGGATTGCACTGTTATCACTGACCCAGAAAATTAAGTGAATTTCTAAAGACCCCTGGCTAATAAACAGGAAGAAAATGAATGCTTTATTACCCACCTCGTGAAGCAACTTCTCACACTTCCTTGCTCCTTATCACAAAAACCTGGGAAAGACTGAGATGTATATATATAAAACACTCACTGCAGTCGAGTCGATTCCAACTCATAGTGACCCTACACGACAGAGTAGAACTGCCCCGTAGGGTTTCCAAGCAGCAGCTGATGGATTTGAACTGCCGAACTTTTGGTTGGCAGCCAAGCTCTTAATCACTGCACCACCAGGGCTCTATATATATATATACAGTTAAGACAAATAGCTGAAAGTCATAAATTACCTCTCTGAGCACATTCACTTTCTTCACCAGGATGTTTAACACCGTATGTCTTCATCTTTAGGTCGCTCTTCCCATGAGGTTCAATGGTAAATCTGGAGTTGAAGTCCGACTGCCAAATGACCTGGAAGATTTGAAAGGATACACATCTCTTTCTTTGTTTCTCCAAAGACCTGATTCACAAGAAAATAGGGGGACTGATAATATGTTTGTGATGTACCTCGGGAATAAAGATGTAAGTATTTCTTTGACATTTCTTCTGTTTTTATAACAGAGTATGTGCTTCGAGACCTGTGCTTTCTCTTTATTCCTCCTTCTCTCTCTCCTTCGCCACACAGCTATGTCCCTGCCGTTGGCACAGCAGGATGAAATCCCACCAAGTCATATCAGCACCCCACAAACTCGCATTCCACCCCCTGCGGTGATGGCTCCTACAGGCACATCCTGTCAGTCAGGTTGTTACGTGCTGGTGGCACCAGGGGCCTTAACATGAGCCCGTACTGCCAGCATGCAGGCACATGAGTGTGTACACGTGAGCACAGACATGCTTGGGGTTGATGAGCACCACCCTGTCCTCATACTACCAGGGCATCGATCAGGCTTCACAAAGTTGGCAGTAGCTGCTCCCCACAAAGGCGTGACACCGTCCTTTTTCTCAACGCCCAGCCGCAGGCCCATCCTCAGAGTCTGGGCTGAGGACGGTACATCTCTGTGGATGAGAAGTAAAGGGAAGCGAAACATCTCCTGCCTAATTAATAAGAAATGTAGTTGCCCCGTCTCTTTATAATTCTAAATTCATGATACCGCCATTAGTGGCATTTTGAATGGTTGGTTTTAGCTTTTAAAATACCTTTCTTTGAGTTATGTTTCAGAAGAAGAGATAATCACTGACCAGGTTAGGATATATTTGTTGGCAAACAAATGTCTGAAATACAGTTCTCAAAATTCTGCCTGATATGGAGATTGTTAACTGTCACTAGTGAATGCTGTATTTGAAGACTGTTAAAATCTGCACCATTGTTAGCCTTTTGTGCTTCAAGGCATTAGTCCTTTCTTTGTAGCTTTCTTATGACATGACTTTTTACCTTGTATCATGACAAAATGCACTAATTTTATTCCTTCAGCACATTTATATCATATACCTACTCTGTGCCACACCCTGTCTTTATGATAAATCTACCATAAGGTGTTCACATTCTAAGAGGGAAGAAAGGTACATGTGTAGCTGACCGTGATGATACGAGGTGCTAATGTTATAAGAGGCATACACAAAGTACTCAGAGAATGTTGCATAACACCAAAGCCAAAAAACCAAACCTGTTGCCGTTGAGTCGATTCCGACTCCTAGCGACGCCATAGGACAGAGTAGAACTGCCCCATAGGGTTTCTAAGGAGCATCTGGCAGATTTGAACTGCTGACCTTTTGGTTAGCAGCTGAAAACTTAACCACTGCACCACCAGGGCTCCTGCATAGTACCAGGATAGTACTATAGCAGAGTAGGTACTAGTGTAGTATTCTGTATAGATATACTATTGTACTATGGTATTGATAGTACTAGTATAGGAAGGGCTTATCTCCCTTATCAGACTAAAATCTAATGGAGGGCTGAATCCATACCTGGTTCATCTTCGTAGTAGGTGCTTGGCAAGTATTTGTAGAATGAGAGAAGGGGTAATAAATGAGTTCACCACAACACGAGCAAGGACAGCTCAGACATTATTAGTTAAGTGTTCTGTATTACTCTATAAAAGGCTGCACCACATTTATTCTGTCTGCCCAAAGGCATAAAACTTGTTAGTCATTTGGAATACATTCTCTTGGGATGGGAAGTTGAGAGAACTCAGTGTGTGCAGTGCTTTGAGGTGGCTTTCGTGTCCCTAGGCCTCCAGGGACTACATTGGCATGGCGGTCATCGATGGCCAGCTCACGTGCATCTACAACCTGGGGGAACATGAGGCTGAGCTCCAAGTGGACCAGATCTTGACCGAGAGTAAAACTCAGGAGGCAGTTATGGACCGGGTGAAATTTCAGAGGTGCAAGTCTGACTGGCGATTGCTCTTCCTTAATCTCACCCACACGCACCAAACTCTTCCATTTGTACTCGTTGCTGAACCCCGTTTTAGTATCTTGCCTTTGATTTCTTTGAAGTTTCATAAATATCTTATAAAACTTTATTCTGTAATTTCATTATAAACAGAATTTATCAGTTTGCAAGACTTAATTATACCAAAGGAGCCACATCTGGTAAACCAGAAACACCCCGGTTCCATGATATGGATAGTGGAAATAGCAACACACTTCTCAACTTGGATCCTGAAAGTGTTGTATTTTATGTTGGAGGTTACCCACCTGATTTCAGAGTAAGTGTAAATGTTATTTCACTGAGTGAAAATATTTAAATCTTAGTGAGTATAATGAATTCATGTGTCTATTTTAATGATTAATTATATATAAAATATTGGAGCCCTGGTGGTGCGGTGATTAAGTCTTCGGCTGCTAACCAGAAGGTCAGCAGTTCACATCCACCAGGCACTCCTTGAAAACTCTATGGGGCAGTTCTGCTCTGTCCTGTAGGGTTGCTATGAGTCGGAATTGACTCGATGGCAGTGGGTTATTGAGTGCTTCCTATGTGTTCTGCACTGTTCTAGGTTTAAGAATATTAATTTAAGAAGTATCATTATCATTCCCATTTTACAGATGAGGAAACTGAGACAGAGAGGTTTAATAACTTGCCCAAGGTCATAACAGCTAGGGGATCTGGCGCCAGGGTCCACATTCTTATGCCCTATGCTATATTGACTGTTAAAAGTAATAGATTTATACTATTTCTTTGTCAACTTAATTCTTGCCCTTTGGTTTTTCTGTTGGTGTTGCTGTTTTTAGCTTCCCAGAAGACTAAAATTCCCTCCTTACAAAGGTTGTATTGAGTTAGATGACCTCAATGAAAATGTCTTGAGCTTGTACAACTTCAAAAAGACTTTCAATCTTAACACAACTGAAGTGGAGCCCTGTAGAAGGTAAATAAAACCTAGAAATTAGTGTCTCTGTGATTTTGGTAACTCGCAGTTCTTTCACATAGAAAAAAGGGATGGGTGAGTGAGATGCTATTGATGTTACTGGTTGCTCTTAAATTATGCTTGCATGCAACACTGGTCGTCCATCCCTAAAATCTGATAATGGTGGTCTTGGTGGTGCAGTGGTTAAGAGCTTGGCTGCTAACCAAAAGGTCGGCAGTTCGAATCCACCAGCCACTCCTTAGAAACCCTATGGGGCAGTTCTACTCTGTCCTGTAGGGTCCCTATGAGTCAGAATCGACTCGACAGCAATGGGTTTGGTTTGTTTTTTTTTTTTTTTTTTCCCCCTCTTTAATTTGTATAAAACACTAGATTGATAAGAGTTTTCTCATTTTTTAAAAAAAAAAAAATCTTAAAATTTTAGTGTCTTCTAACATGAAATAATCAATGTTAGATGGTACCTGATTTAGGCACAGAATTATTTGCTTCTTATAAATTTTTAAAAATGAATGGTCCACATCCACATGGACTGATTTGAAAATTGCTGCCTTGAGCTCCTGACCTTCCCTACAGTTAAGAGGACTTGCGATACTCTAATATGAGAATGACTCAGTATTCATTATTCAGAATAAAATTTTTATTTCAAGTTAATAATTTCTTACCTTTCAAGATCATTAGCTGCTAGGCCACATCTTCCTAAGTAGACATTTCCAAAAGGGATTCTTGAATATTGTATATTTTGAGCTGGTCTTTGAATTATTATATAATATAAGATCAAATCCAGGAATTATAGCTGGATGCTTTAACATTTTAAAAACGTTTCATCATCTTTAACAAAACTATGCTAACTAGATTGCCTAATGCTTTGGGTTTTTCAGAGATTAGCATTTCGTATTGATAAGCGCACTTGTGTGCTGGGCCTTTGCGACTGTTCTAACTTGTGATGATTAATATTGACAGGAGAAAGGAAGAGTCAGACAAAAATTATTTTGAAGGTACAGGTTATGCTCGAGTTCCGACTCAACCACATGCTCCCTTCCCAACCTTTGTACAGACAATTCAGACAACCGTGGATAGAGGTTTGCTGTTCTTTGCAGAAAACAAGGTAATATATAACAAGCATCAAATACTACCAAATATGTCCGTTCATTTTTAGCAATGTTGGGGGTAACTGGGTTATTATAACCAACCCACTAGATCTGAAAAACAATGGGCAACTGTTACTAGCATCATTTCCCTTGGCCTAGTTTACTTTCTTTCCATTTGCTGCAGATGTGTAACAAGGCAAACAATCAGTTATTTGAGGACATAATACAGAAATATGAGAGAAGTCTCCCCTTTTCCCATTTTATTCTCAATGTCCATTTTATTCTTTGAAACCTACTGCTTGCCTGATAATCTGCTTATGCCTTCTGGTATCTCCAAGCACAACAGATTGTGACTTCTTGCTTTCCTGTTTGATTTCCTTCTTGGTCTGGCTCTTGCCAGGTTCTGTGGAATCACATCTTTATCAAGTTGATTCTTGGCTTCCCATGACACCCAAGCTTCTCTGCTTTCAAACAGCGGAGGATCCTTGAAAGCCATTAAGTCCGCTTGTTCAGCAAAGTCCAAAGTGATCACCAGCACCATCTGCTGGTAGATGGAGAGTTGGCATGATATTTGCTCTGGCTCGTTTATAGTTGCAAGGGGCCTTGAGTTGAACACTCCCGAGAAGAGAGCTTCTGTAGTTGTTCTCAGAGGTAGTTATTATGGAAGAATTTGAATCAACCCCAAGGGATCTCTGGCCTGAGAACGTGAGATTGATAAGGAGCTTGGGATTTTACCAGACCCTGCTACCTGTGGAGACACAGACCTGGTCTAACTGTCCTCTCTGGGTTGGTCTGAACCCTTCAGTAAATCCCAGGACTGACCCAGTTCTGATGGATTTGGGAAGGTCTCGACCTGCTTGAAGAATGCAGAGAGTGAGAAGTTGTATCCTCAGCATCCTCAGAGCAGGACAGTTGGCAAGACAGTTATTTCCCCAAATGAGGTCTTCTTTGTACTACATTTTAAAGTTTTTGCACACTAAGAACCAGAAATCCTACTTATATTAGAAGAAAGCTTCCCTAATACCATTAGTAGGCAGATGAGAGAAAACTCTGCAGCACGGCCGTTAATTGGAGTGGCTCATTATTCTCAGTGAGTCATGTTACTCTGCTGTTTGTGCACGGGGCTGTCCAGAACCCAAGGGCAGAATCTGGGTAAGGATGGATTTCTGTTTTAGATAAGGGCTTTTCACCCTAGCCTCCAAAGAGAGTGTCTTGGTTTCCTAGCGCTGCTGTAACAGACATATCACAAGTTGGTGGCTTTAAAGAACAGAAACCTATTTTTCTCACAAGTCCAAATCAGATGGATTCCTTCCCTGTCAGGAGCCCCAGGTGTTCCTTGACTCGTAGATGATCTTCACATGGTGTCTAGCCCCCCCCAAAACCCCACCTTCCTCAGCCCCCACTCCTCCGTATGTACCTCTGCCTACTCTGCTCTTTTTAGAATTAATTCATAAGTGATTAGGTTTAGGATTCACCCTACACTGTTACGGCCTCATTCACATAACAAAGAAAACCTTGTTTCCAAACAGGATTATATCCACAGGTATAAGGGTTAGGATTCCAACACATGTTTTCGGGAACAGAATTCAGTCCAGAACAGAGAGGCCTTCTGATCATTGGGAAACTGAATAAGAGCAAAGCCTTTAACTGCTGTGTCAGAAATTCCTAAATTTATCTTTCCACTAAGGAAATTATTTTCTTCAAGGATATGTCTTGTACCTTGGTGGAGATACAATAACTACCAAAGCAGACACAGTTCCTGCCCTTGACAACATCATTTTCTAGTGGGGGAAGACAGACAGTAAACAAAGTCATACTAGTGAATGAGTTAATTAATTCGTCACAACTGTGATGAGCAGCACAGAGGAGAATTTTAGGGTGAAATGAGTATGTATGACAGCAAAGACTTTCTTAAGAAAAGGAGGCTTCACCTGAGACCCAAAGGACAAGTAGAAGACAGCCTTTGAAGGGGACAGGGCCAAAGGGTGATGCAGGCAGAGGGAGTGGCATGATGCAGGGCTGGAGGTGGGCAGGGCAGGGAGCAGCAAGGACTGGGATGGAGGCCCGTGCGGCTAGAGAGAGAGTGCTGAGAAATGAGCCACAGAGCGGTCAGGGCCCCACAGCACCTGCTGGGGATTCAGACTTTATCCTAAGAACCAAGGAAAATAACACGCTCACAGTGGCATTTTTAGAAGGCCACTCTGGCTGCAGAGGGAAATGGATTTCAGAGGGCCAGAGTGGACATGGGAAGAACAGCCCATTATTGCTGTGCAGTCTGGCAAAAAAAAGCTATGGTTAAGACTAAAACCAAAAAAAAAAAAAAAAAAAAAAAAAAACCCTTGCCCCATTGAGTTGATTCCAACTCCTGGTGATCCCATGTGTTACAGAGTAGAACTGCTCCATAGGGTTTTTTTGGCTATAATCTTTACAGAAGCAGATCGCCAGAACTTTCTTCTGCAGTGCGGCTGAGTGGGTTCTTACCGCCAACGTTTAGGCTAGTAGTGAGGCTCAAACTCTGTGCACCACCCAGGGACCTATAGCTGAGACTAAAAACAAAACAAAGAAAACTCAAACCTGTTGCCATCTGGTATATTCCAACTCATAGCCACCCTGTAGGACAGAATAGAACTGCCCCGTAGGGTTTCCAAGGATTGGCTGGTGGATTTGAACTGTCGACCTTCTGGTTAGCAGCCATATTCTTAACCACCGCGCCACCAGAGCTCCATAGCTGGGACTAGGTGGAATAAAATGGAGAGAGTTAAGAAATGCTAGAATCATCAAGATTTGATAGGAGAGATGGAAGGATCAAGAATGACTTCTAGGTTGGTGGCTTGCTCAGCGAGGTGGTTAGAGGTGAGGGGAGATGACTTGGTGGCATGAGGGAGGCATGGAGACCATAAGTTTCATTTGGGATATTCTGAATTTGATATATCTGTGCATCATGCAAGTGAGAACAATAAGGTAATTGGATATGCAGACAACTCTAGAGAAAAACATTTGGGCTTCACCAATAAAACCAGTGGCCATAGAGTCTACTCTGACTCATGATGACCGCATGTGTGTCAGAGTAGGACTGCTATAGGGTTTTCAAAGGCTGATTTTTCAAGCCTTTCTTCTGAGGCACCTCTGGGTGGACTCGAACCTCCGACCTTTTGGTTAGCAGCTGAGTGTATTAACTGTTTGCATTACTCAGAGACTTCTGGGCTTCACCAGCACACCTTAATTGGAACCCCTGGAGTGGCTGAGATTTCTGAGGCAGAGAGAGTGGGTGAGGGAGGAAGAGATCCTGTGAAGGATCCCTTTTTGGTTTCCTTTTTCCCATGCTTGTTATTCATTGTACGAAACAGAATAATGCTAATAGCACACACACATTTGTTGTGTATTTCCTGTGTGCCAACTACTGAATATGATGTTAAACATGACATAATATTTAACCATCATAACCATCCCGTGAATTAGATATTACAGTATTATTATCCCTTTTAACTTATGAGGCAGCTGAAACTGAGAGCAGTTTGTAACTTGAGAGTAACTTGAGTTACAATGCTCTTTCCTAGCGGTACATTGTTTCTTTGTTCTAGGATCACTTTGTATCTCTAAATATAGAAGATGGCAAACTTGTGCTGCAATACAAACTGGGTTCAGAGCCACCAAAGGAAAAAGGAAGTAGAGAATCTATAAACGATGGGAAAGATTATATGGTAAATCCTTTTAATCTATTTTCTTGAATTGTGAAATGTCCTTAGTCTTTTAAAATTAAGTCCATGCAAAAAGAACGTTGTCCATATTACCGGATAAACTTATAGTTATTAATTTAGGGACATATCCTTTTAAAATTTGAAAATTTAGGCATGGAATATATAACGTATATATGGCATGTATAAAATATGATTGGTTTCAAATGCAAACTTTTCTATTAAAATGTTTTGTGTCAGATTTTTAATCCAAAAGTGCTACCATTCAGAGTCTTTCTACTATGTAGATAAATGGATCTGAAGGAAAACAAATAAAAACATAGAGGCTCTGGATCACTGTCAGTAGGATTGTTTTATTTCCCACTGCTTGCTGATTGATCTCTCATTTATTTCAGATTCGGATCAACTTTGCAAAGGCCCAAAAAGTTCTGTGGGTAAAAGTGAATTCTATAAACATTAACGTTGACGGGGAAATATTTGATTTCAACACATACTATCTGGGTGGAATTCCAATTTCCCTCAGGGAAAGGTAAGATGATATGGTTAAAAAAGAAAACAAAAAAAAGCCGATTGCCTCTCTTAGTGTTGCGATTGCTCCTGATACATCTAGTCTACCTTCTTTTAATTCCAGGGACAAGGGGCTAACTTTTCAGTATTCCCAGTGTTACCCAACAGAGTGAAACAGGCTGTGAATACTAGATAATGGGATTGGCCACTTGAAAGGGGGTAAACTGTGTATCACCCCCATAGTCACTCTTGGGAGGAGAAAAACCACAGGGAATACAAGGAGTGTTGAGAATACTGCCAAGAAAATGGAGGCTGTGACCCTGGGGTCTTGAAGGAAGCCTAGGAGAGTGCAGGCAGTCTGGAGGGCTGACAAGGGCATGGGACACTGAAAGCTGGGCTTGCTGCCTTCTGCAAGTTTCTTCTAGAATGTAAGGCACCATGTCTCCTTCACATCTGTATCACCTGCCCCTTCTATGACCTCCAGCAAGGAATCGATGCATACCTGTTTTGTGGATTAATGAATATATGAAATTAATGTGAAAGGCAGTAGAATTTAATCTGAATGAGAAAAGAAGAAAACAATACTTTGAGAATGTACTTAAAGGTAACTTTATGAAAAAACAAGAAAACCTGGTGCCATCAAGTCTATTCCGACTCATGGTGACCCTCCATAGTCTGTTAATGTGTTTATGTCCTCCAAAAAGGCTTTTAGATAGCCGATAATTTGTGGAAAGAAGACACCTTGGAAGAGTTAGTACAGCCTCGTAATCAAGCTAAGAATGCCTCCCAGAGCCTTTGATGATGATTACTTTTATATGAGAGCTGAAGCTAGCTAATTTTTTTTTCTACTTTATAATCAGTTGGAAGGAGTCTAATGTGATTTATAACGTGCATGCAAAGGTATTCTTTCTTCAAGAGTTCTTATACTTTGGGCATCTGAGTGAACTTAGTAAGAAGGCACTAATCTTTGTTACCTGGGGCAGTGGTGGTTCAGTGGTAGAATTCTTTCCTTCCACGAGGGAGACCCAGGTTCAGTTTCTTGACATTGCACTTCAGGCACAGCCGCCACACAACTGCCAGTGGAGGGTTGTATGTTGCTATGATGCTGAACAGGTTTCAGCAGAGCTTCCAGACTAAGACAGACTAGGAAGAAAGGCCTGGCAATCTACTTCTGAAACTTAGCCAGCGAAGGATCACCACATTCCAGTCCGAAACCCATCGTGGGGATGATGCAGGATCGGGCAGTGTTTCATTCCATCCATTTGTGCATGAAATCGTCATGAGTCAGGGGCAACTCAATGGTAGCTAACAACAAAAACAATTTTTGTTTCAAAGTTTTCAGGATTGTCCCCAAAGACAAAAATGCAGGTGGGAAAGCTCAGCACTTTAATGGAGTTTGAGAGAAGGGTAATGTTTTCACTCCATAGATTCTTTTAGCTGGAAGGGACCTTGCAGATCATGGTAGGTAACCCCTGCATTTCACAGATGAAGATATTGAGAGTCAGAGGGATGAAATGACCTCATCAATGTTAAATAGCAATTCAGCCATGAGTCCCGTTGCCAATTCCGACTCTCGGTGACCCTATAGGACAGAATAGAACTGTCCTATAGGTTTCCAAAGCTGTAATCTTTAGGGGAGTAGACTGCCACAGCTTTCTCCTGCAGAGTAGCTGGTGGGTTCAAACCACCAACCTTTCTGTTAGCAGCTAAGTGCTTAACCACTGTGCCACCAGAGCTCCTTTATGTTCCATTAAATGTAGTAAAATATAGTAATTTACGATAGTCAGCACTCTTGCATACATCTGAGGGTTATTGTTGGCTCATTCTCAAGTATTTATTGAGCGCCAGATGAGCACTGGACAGTGTGACAGATGTCAGGAATACAACAGTGAGCAGGGCAGATCCTAAAGGAGGGTGGAGGAGAGATAGGCACAAAGTAGATGGTGAGGGGTGCTGTGAGGGGGGAGCTCAGGGGCTGAGGGAGCCCAGGGGAGGACTCTGACCCAGGTCCAGTTAGAGACCTCTGGCTAGGATGTGAGAGATGCTAGCTCTTCAACACATATGAAGAGCTAAAAACTAGAGAAAGGGTGAAACCTTCAAAGAACTGGATACATGGGGAAGCAGGCAGGGATGTGACCTGGGACTGGTGTGGGAAGCAGGGGCCAGGCCACAGAGGATCTTGAATGTCACAGTAAGGAGCCATCTGAGGGATTTAAGCAGAGAAAGGACATTATAAGCTGGATTTTCAGTAGCTCACTGTAGTGCGGGGTGGATTTGGATTCGAGAGGGAAAGGGCAGAGGCAGGTAGAGTGGTTAGACGATCACTGTATTAATGGGAGTGAGAGGTGAGGGTGGCCTTACCCAAGTGCAGACGAGGACAAGGGAGTGGACTCAAAATATATTTAGGACGTCAAATGGGCAACTGAATGATTGCTCAGACTTGGGTGGGGTTCAAAAACAATGCCTGGTTTATTATTTAGCCCTTGGGCAGCTGGAGAGCACCAGCAGAGGAGCATGTAGGGGCAGATGATGATGAAGTTCAGTCTGAGGCAGGCTGAGTCCCAGGAGTCTGAAAGACGGGCAGGTGGACAGGCCCAGAAGCCATTGAATATGATGGCCTGGACCTTGGGAGACAAGTCCAGGCTGGAGACCAGGCCCAGGCACATAGGTATTCACTGGGGAGCTTGAGGACTTCTGAAGCAGAAGCAATAAGGAAGCCAGTGGTCAGTGGTTTGCTTTTAATGGAGTTACCTAAGGCCACAGGGAGTGATGTGGATGCCAGTCAAGCACGTTTACTAGAAAGGGTAGTGGGTGAGAATCAAGAAGTGGGTTCTAGTTCTGGCTCAGCCACCAGATAGCTGTGTGACTTTGGGTTAAGTCAGCACTCAACCTTCTTTTGCCTTTTTATTTTGATCTATGAAAGAAACATATATACCAAAAAAACCAAACCTGTTGCCTTTAGTTGATTCTGACACATAGGGTTTCCAAGGCTGTAATCTTTACAGAAGCAGACTGCCACATCTTTCTCCTGCAGAGTGGCTGGTGGGTTCCAACTACTGACCTTACAGTTAGCAGCTGAGCATTTAACCACCGCACCACCAGGGCTCTCTCTCTGCCTCTGTCTATGTATATGTATATATGTATTGTGTGTGTATATATATAGTATACATGTATAGACACATGTATATGTTATATATGGTATTACATATACATATATATGTATACACACATACATATATATTGAACTTTCCTAGTAATCTGTCTTAGGATCTTCCAAACAAGGGACTGTCTCCTTTTACTGGGCAAGTTCATACTTTGATTTTTTATTTAAATGACAAGAACATGGAAAGGCAGGAGATAGAGGCCAGTCAAAGATTTCACTGTCCTTTTACTCCTAGCAAGTAAAATGCAAAGCAACGTTCAGATATTTCTGGCCCTGCTTCATCCCTCTGGCAAATTCTTTGATGGTAACTACCTATCTTCTAGGGTGGTTGTAAGGATTCAAAGTGTGTAAAGGGATTAGCACAGTACTTGGCACATAGAAAGTGCTCAATAAATGTTAGAAGAAAATATCTACTGCAAACAATTATGAGGATAGAAAAATAGGTATAAGGTGTCTAAAACTATCTTGCACAAAATATGTGCTCCATGTATTTATCTTCCTGTCTTTCCACTCTTTGCCACCTTCATCTTTCTTCAACCAATGTACTCTAGTGGGAAGAAGGACATTAGGTTATGTTGATTCAGGTCTAACACAGCCTCTCCCACTGAGTCCTTACTCTGTACCAAGCACCATCTGAGTGTGTTACACATATTAACTCATTTAAACTTACAACAGCCCTGTGAAACAGATTGACATATTCCCATTGTAGAAATGAGGAAACAGAGGCACAGAGAAGTTAAATAGCCTGGGCAGGGTCATATAGCCCTTAAGCAGCAGGGACAGGACCTAGCTCCAGAGTCCACAGCTCCTGAGCAGCACTGTCTTGCCTCTCAAACACTTGCTAGCACCTTCTGAGTGTTCACTACTGTGTGCCACGCACCATTCCAAGTACTTTGTGTGCATTAACTTGTTTAATCCTCACAACAACCCCTTTGATGTTAAATAACTTGGCCAGGTTGTCCAATTAGGAGGTAACATTGGAACCCAGACAATGCCTACAACTTCCCTATGTTTTCCATTGTTTCAGCTTGGCATTGATTAAATGCCAAGCCACATTTTTTATAATTAAATAGAACCAAAAGTAACAGTTTGTTTCATTTGAGTTTACAGTGGCTAACTGAAAAGTGGACCAAAAAAAAGAGGAAATGTTTTCTAGAGCATTCCTGGCTCTAATAAATTACCTATTAGTTACAATTCCAATTGACCGTGCATTACCATGACACCAGGGTGGAGGGACAGGGGAGCAGTTGTGCATCTTCTTTATCCTGTACCTTTTGTGGATACTGCTCATTCTTGGGTTATCTGTTAACATTGTCTGCATTTTTGAAGCTGACAGTGCATAATCACACAGGAAGGAAGTAGATTTTCCCAGCCTCACAAAATAAGCAAGTCACGTGACATCCACCCACTGTGACAGCAATATAGGAATCCCATGAGAACTGATAACTGTAAAATATGTACGAGTTTATGGGTAGAAAGCAGTAGAGGGTGCGTTGTGTTGCAGCTCTGATTCCCGGGAGAGCCTGCCATGACACATCTCTTCCTTGTTTGTATCCAAAATCAGGTTTAACATTTCTACACCTCCTTTCCGAGGCTGCATGAAAAATCTGAAGAAAACTAGCGGTGTTGTTAGGTTGAATGATACTGTGGGAGTCACAAAAAAGTGCTCAGAAGACTGGAAGGTAAGTGAAGAGTTACCCTTGAACATGGTGCAGAATTCAGAACTTTGCAAAGGCGTGCTGTCCAACCAACCCATCTTTGGTCTTAATCACAGATCAACTTCTGACTTTTCTCTGGTAGCACAGAGTGAATTGACTGAAATACACTCCCCACATACTTGCAAGATATAAAACCGCTTCAGATTTGCACATTACCTTTGCGGGAAAATAGAAATACCAGCTGTACACACAACAACTTAGAGAAGTTTGGTAAATTATCACGCAGTGAAACAAATTATTTCTTCCTGAGGCAACAGCAATCACATGAATCAGTTCAGGTGAAGTGATACAGGATAAGAGCTGGTATTTTCATCATGAAATGATTACAGTGCCAGTAACGTTTTCCATGTTTGCATTCCAGCTGGTGCGAGTGGCCTCTTTCTCCAGAGGAGGACAACTGAGCTTCCCCGATTTGGACTCCCCGTTGCCCAACAACTTCCAGGCCTCATTTGGGTTTCAGACCTTTCAACCCAGCGGCATATTATTAAATCATCAAACACGGGTATGAAATATTGGATTAGTATTGACCAAGATTTAAACCTGACTCAAAGTCTAATGTCAAAAACAATAGATAGATTTTGAAGGTAAATTAGTTGGGCGTTTTATTTATCATCACATCCCAAATGCTATTGTATATTTCGACGGAAGTTTATCCCCACCCTAGGATAGGTCCTAAAAGAAACCAGGCTTAGAAGGTATATTCTAAGCATATCATGAGATATACAGCCTATTTTATGTATATTAGAGAATTGAATTTATGTACATTCATGGACTAATTTTCATTCTTTTTGGATATACTTTGTAAGACCTAAGATGAATTGTAACTGTTGTTAAGTAATAACGTAGTTGAAGTTTTAGATCTAAGAAAAAAATTCAGACTGGATCCCCATTATTCCTTTTTGATTACACAAAAGATATTCAGATTCCTTTTTTTTTTTTCCAGCAGCTAGTTGCACGACATTTACATGGAGATTGGGGGGGCATAAGGTCTTTGCCCTTTCTCATGTACAACACAGCCACGGAAATTCTCTTCAGCAAGGAGGTACCCTCTATAAGAGGATTTAGCTAAGGTGGTTATGTAGGTGTAGAAGTCAACTAATACTTGGAAATCCCCCTGTGGGATAAGTGGAATTTTAAAATAGAAGTAGAAGTAGAGTACTGTAATTCTTAGATTTGTTTCTTCAGGATTGCCAAGCACAGCAGGCATCTAGTGTTTGTTGAAAGGATGGATGTAGGTAACTCTGTGTCCTATGGAGTATTAAGAAGGCCTCGCCTATCTTGATGTCTTTGCTCATCAGCCCTTAGATCTTATTTAAACACTAACTCTGAAGAAGCACAAGCCAGCACTGAGATTGTGGGGATGGTTTGTCCATCAAAACAGGATATTTTGACATAGGTCTTTTGATACCCAGCAGTTGTTTTCTCTGCCAAGGGCAGGGACACTTAGTACATGATACTCAGAATGATCAAAAGCAATGAAATAGGTCAGTTTCCTAAACAATGACAGAATCCTAGAAACAGCCTAGGGACATTGCCCTCAATTTTATAATAGATTATTAGGAAATACATATAAATTAGCATTCTTTTATCCAATCCATAATTAATATGAGTATTGCCAGTAGGAAAAAAATCAACACAAAATAAAACTGACAGTGGCTATAACTGCATACTGTAAAAACTGTTTTAGACTAAAAGCTTGCTGAAGAAACACATCTTGTTGAAAACTACAAAAATTGTACTTGCCCCATAGACACATCCAAACTCCCTGAGGGACTGAATTGCTGGGCGGAGGGCTCTGGGGACCATGGTCTCGGGGAACATCTAGCTCAATTGGCATGACA